AGGAGAGACTAAGTGGTCCTTGACAATAAATGAAATAATCAAGAACTTTGCCAGATAGAAGTCGGGCTCAGCGCCTGCACACATCTCATTTTAAAGAAACAGACCAGTAAGGGGCAGGCTCAGAGTGGACGGGGAACAGTCGTGTGGCACCTTGAGAGAGGTATAGCGAGGTTGCTTAGGAATGCTTTTTAGTACATGAAAACTGGCGGGGGGACGTCCACTGGGAGGCTGGACCAGGCTTGGGAGCGGTGGTCTGTGCCCAAAGAAGCAATACCCAAAAGGTCTGTCGCAGCAACACAGTACATAGGACCCCCAGGGAGAGAAAAGCACCCGCTTTCTTTAACGAAGGAGGCGGGCTCCGGGAAGTCGGAGCTCGGGATCTAATCACATTGTCTGCGGGAGGAGGAGGAGGCGGCGGCTGCGGGAGCTGCCGCCTCAAGTCACGTGCCGCCTTTTCCGCCGCGGCTGCCGCAGTAGCTACACCGAGGAGGCAGCCCCGCAGCCGCAACTCTGGACTCGGAGCCGTGCGGGAGGTCCAGGCGTGGAGGCTCTCGAGAGCTCCGGGCCGATGAGACCCGTGCCGCGCACGGCCATGACGCCGGCTTCCCACTGAGGCGCTGCCGCCTCTCTGTGACTCTGCACTTCCCCGGCGGGCGGCTGCAGGTGAGTGGGTCTCCCGGCGCACTGTCCTCACTGCTGGTGTCAGGTGTCCCTTTTTTCGCACCTCGCCGAAATGCGAATGAGATCTCTCCCCGCCACTTACACCCGTCAGCCTGGCCGCTTAAGTGCATCAGTCAGCAGACTTGTAGGTTCCTTAACTCCTGCGGCTGTAGCGTAAGAGGGGGGGAAAGCTCGTCAGGGAAAAGAGCTCATGGAAGGGAAGGGCGAAATAGGCTGCGAAATGCACTGCTTCTCTCGTTATCCTGCGAAAGGTCAGTCTCGGCTTGCGTGCCTTGTCCCAGCAGACACGGGAAAGTCTCTTGGTATAAGATCCCTTTGGCTGTAGAGATCACGGGGAAATAGTTCTCCCTTGTGCTGAGACTGGATTAGGAATTAGAGTTGTCTGCCGCGCACGAACTGGCCGGACTTTTTCCTGTGCCTTTAAGAGCACTCTGAGACGTAGAAATCAGCTAGTGATTTTTAAAAAAAATTAATTTGGTAATTGCAGCGGCTCAAACGGCTGTAGGAAATTTGTAGGAGAAAGATGAATATAGGCTAAAGTTAACTGCTTTCCAGTTATTAGTTGTACAGTTAGGGAGTGTTAATCCTGTTTAGATGGCCACACCACCCCCAAATGCTCTGACCTGGAATGGGTCGTGGTCGCTTAGCAGTGATAGAAGAAACACACTTTGTGCATACTCAGAAGCCTTCCCTCTTTAAGGCTTAACATATCAGCAGAGGTGGCAGTAGTAACAGGTGATGGTTTTAAGCCCCATAAACTCTGGTTCCAAACTAAGACTCGCCCTTTATGAATGAAGAACAAACAGCCCTGTAGAATTAGCTAGCCAGTTATGTTTCAGCCATGTGACATGCCAATTATATATGCCTTTATTTTAAAAAACCAGGTTTTGATTCCGTTTCATTGGGGATGCTGATGAACTATATTGCTGCTGCAAGCTGCTCACTGAAATGTGATAAAGGTTTATTGTTTCTAGGCTAGTAAACAGTCTTTTGAATTTTTTAGGATAGAGAAGAGAGAACTTTTGTTTCTGTAGTGGTGCGTGGACACCAATCTTGTGGAACTTTTCTTCCTACAAAATGCAAAGCGGTGAGGTTAACTGGAGACCCCTTCATTTATTTCTTTGACTCCCCTGTATTTAGCCTGTGAAGCCATTCCCTTGATTGCAGCGGATTTGAGTGGTGTGGGGCAGAGGCTACAGTACTAGGGATGCCATCTGTCAAGCCATTTTAGGGTAGCGCACACTGCCCTTTCCAGAGAGAGGGAGAATGAATGAGAATGTAACTGGCCTGATGAGCTTTATAGCTGAGCGGGTATTGAATGCGGGTCTCCTCAGTCCTAATCCGTATCTCACTATACAACACTGGATCTCCATGTTGTGGAGCCCAGGTTCAGATTTGAGTTTGATGCTCTGTAAGTGGCCTTGAAGAGTTGCCAGATACTCAACTACCTTGCAAGGTTGTTGTGAGGTTACTCTGAGCTCTAGGGGAAATAAGTGGTATGCAAAAGTAACAAATACCAAAGGGTGTATAATAGGGGTTCCTTACTAAACCAGACTAATGGTAAATCTAATCCAGTACCATGTACTCCATTAGTTTTTAACCTTCAACTAAAAAGGTAAAGGTTTCCCTTGCTCGAAAGCCAGTTGAATCCGACTCTAGGGATGCGGTGCTCATCTCCGTTTCCAAGCTGACGAACAAGCGCTGTCCAAAGACATTTCTGTGGTTATGTGACTGGCATGACTAGACGACGAGGTGCACGGAACGCTGTTACCTTCCCACCGCAGTGGTACCTATTTATCTACTTGCAGTTTCTTGCTTTCAAACTGCTAGGTTGGCAGGAACTCACTCCGTCTGCAGCACTCGGGTCTCGGACTGCTGAATTACCGACCTTCCAGTCTGCAGCTCAGCATCTTAACCACTTGAGCCACCTACTACTGCCCATCAAATACATATTATTTCTGAATGCCCCCAAGCCGCAAGTAAAAACTGAGGATATAAAAATTTCAGACAAGACAACTGGATTTATATTAATATATGCATACAATACACAGGCATACATTCAATGAGACCAATGTGCCTGATGACTATCAGCCAAATACTTAGTGCTGGGTTTGTTATGGGTCTGGGTGAGAAATCTGAGATTTTATCCAGAGGGGCAATGTGAGCAGCTCCTAGAAGACCCAGCAGAAGTCAACAAGAGAGAATGCTCTTTTGACACTCAAATTGCTGGAAATACTCAATCAGTTTGCATGTGTCTCTGTGCAAAGGGAATTGGAACCAGTCCTGCTTTTAGCTGGGGTGGCCGGGGTGCGGAGGGAGACTCCAAATTAAACATACGAACAGGGAATTTTTACACTGACACACCATGTTTTAGTGGCTCGGGATATTTTTCATTACTCGAAAATAGCTGTCATTAAAGAAAAGTTTGGTGACCCCCCCCCCGCCCTGAGGTTTATGCCGTGCAGGTCCTAGAAAACACTTCTGATCAGGTGTCTGACGAAGGGAGCTTCGGCTCTCAAAAGCTGATACGCTGATAATCTTGTTGGTCTCTAAGGTGCTGCAGGACTCATATCTAACTGTTCTACTGCAGACCAACACAACTACCCTCTGGAACTAACTTCAGATCAGCACTTTGTTATCTGTAGTTGTTAAAGAAAAATAAATATTACTAATCACATCCTCTAGGGATGCACTGGGGGGAACACAGGAGGTGTCCATCAGGTAGTGAACTTTGCATTGCACATTTTTGTCATATTCCCAGCGTTGATGGTGTTGTCTAAATTTGCAAACTTAGTGTGATGTCATGGTTAGATTGTCCAAATAGAACTGGGCTCAAGCCACTCTTTGGCCAGTCTACCTCTGTCTCATAGCCTAGCCTATTTCGCAGGGTTGCTGTGAAGTTAAAATGGAGGTGGGAAGACTTGTCTACACAGCCCTTGCCTGACTGGAAGAAGGGCAGGGGTGTGATAGCTGGAATGTGACATGACATTCCTTCTTCCAGCCATGGTGTGTATGATGAATAATAGCACAGGATGAAGACTTGTCAGATACATATTCAGCCTTGTATTTACATGCAGCTGCAGATGTGAGTTTTTAATGTACTGAAGGTGTTTTGGTTTTTCTTATTTTTTTTTTTGAGAAGTGAGAAATAAATCCAGGAATTCTGGTTTCAAGGTGGGATCCAGACCAAGTTTTCCACCAGCAGAATGGAACTTTGCTACCTCTTCCCAAATGCTGCTCCAGGAGAACAGGGGCCCCTAAGGAATTACGTGAGAAGGGTCTGTGGTGGGAAGGGGAAATTGGTGGAAATTGCCAATTTAGTCTGGATCCAGCCCTTGGTGTGCATAACTACTTTATATGCAGTGCATATGTCACTAGTTATAGCCCATAACTAGAAAGCAAGGAGGGAGTACAAATTGCTTCTTTGCAGTGCTGTTGCTATTTTTTTCCAAATGTGGATGGTTTTGTCTTGTACAGTGAGCCTAGAAGATGCAGCTGTATTAGGATAGTGTGTCAAAAGAAACATAACCACCTAGTTCTGTGATGTACTGTTTCTCAGAATGAAGGCCCACAGAATGACTTGCAAGTCATTCCCATTGAATGTGGTGAGCAGGTGTGTTTAGGATTGGGTAGCACCTGATTGGAAATTAGTGTGCTGCAGTCCAGTAGCACATTCTTGGCATGTTTCTGCCACTGCTGCAGGTAAAATGCTAAATAATTCACATGCTCTGTGCAAGAGATAGGGGTGAGGGAGCTCAGTATAAGGCATCTCAAGTCCTGAGCATCTGTATGACACTGTGTTGCAAACAGAGCACATAGGAAATCGAATTAAGGCAAGGTTTTTTTCAAAGTCTTTGGACTGTTAGGATATTTTTGAATATATTTTCTGGAGCCCCTAAGATAGGATAAGAGTTCCACATGCATAGTGAGGTAAGGTTTCCAACTATTTCCCTGTCTTTTACAGCCATTCAGGCCCCTTTAAAAGCTACTTTGGGATGTTGCTGACTCTGAATGTGCCCACTTGGACTAGTACCATTTCCTGTGCAGTACACAAGCAGCAGGGGAGGCATCCCCCCCCCCCCATCCTATTGCTAAGACTGGTGTGTCCTCAGCTAGTCACTTAGCAGAGAGATGTACACACACACACACACACCTTTTGTGCTGGTAAGAAGTTTGAGCCAGTTTGGTGTAGTTTTTAAGTGCGTGGACTAGAGATGTGAAGGCCCGGAAAAAAACCGGAAAAATTCGGGAAAAAACTGTTTTTCCCATTTTTTCCCTAAAGCCTTTTTGTTTTTTCCCAAAAAATTGAAAAAAGAAAAGAAAAGAAAAAAATTGATTATTTTAACATGATGAATAAAATATTTTAAGACAAGGTGTTCAAATATTTTCCAAATCATTTCTCTCATATATCAGATTGATCTAATTTCTGTGCACTGAGGACAAGCAAGTCCTAGGTTACAAACTGAACTCTCCAATGCAAGAACAAGATGCATTTCTTCCTTTAGGAGGTGCTATTGTCAGAAGAAAATAAAAAGGTTTCTGTTTTGTTTTTGCATGTCAGTGGGTATTATGTTTGTAATAATTGTTTGGGTACACTACATTTTTAATATGCTAGTTGTGATAATTTCATGCCAAGTAAAAATGTCCATAGTCATATTTTATGTTCCTAAAGTAACAGGATGACTTTCAATCTAGAAAAGACAAAAGAAATGCTAATGTAGCATTTTTTTCAGTTTTTCCGAAAATTTCCATTTTTTTCTAAGCTTCAAAATTTCTGGAAATTTTACATCTCTAGCGTGGACTCTAATCTGGGAGAACTGGGTTTGGTTCCCCACTCCTCCACTTGCAGCTGTTGGATGACCTTGGTTAAGCCATAGTTCTGTCAAAGCTGTTCTCTCAAGGACAGTTCTGGAAAGAGCTCTCTCAGCCCCACCTACCTCATAGGGTGTCTGTTGTGGGGAGGGAAAGGGAAAGGCCACTTTGAGACTCAGAGTGAAGGGCGGGGTATCAATCCAATCCAATCCTCCTCCTCCTCCTAATACAGGCTCACAGACTGCTTCACTGAGGGTCTCAGAAATAAATTATAGTAATTTGTGGATGTGTTTCTTAGTTTTCCAGGGTTTGAAGAATCTATTATTTTGGTAAAAGGGTTCAGTATGAAGATTGCACTGATGTCTTGTATGTAGATGAGGGCTGGTATGTGCTTGTGTCTTTCCAAGAATGTAGGTGTTACAAGAAACACAGGCAGGATTCAAATAGGCATCTGCAATCAAAGGTGATAGTCATTAGCTTTCAAAACTCCTCTGCATAATGAAATACCTCTCAACATAATAAGAACGTAAGAACCAGATTTCTACTTTAAAAAGTCTTCACACTGGGGGTATAATAGAAGAGGGTTTCCAGATTGAATTAAACAAATGTAAGTATATCCGAAGATCAAATGAAAAACCTGGGAAAATGACATAAACTATACAAAATGTTGTGTTTATGCAAAATGTTTTCTTCACATAGCTCCAAAAATAGTGCATTCTGTGAATGAGGCATGGGAACTCTGGATGTTTGTTTAACACATTTGTTCCTCTCTGTTGTGTTTTCTTGATGAATAAAAGCCTGATCATTTGAGTTGGCTGGCATTTATGTGCACATGGATAATCTAGCTGTAATCTGCTACCCATCCCTCAAACAGACTCACCCCAAATTGTGTTTTAAATATGTCCATAGCCACAAGTGAATGATGTTTTATTAGTCATTTCAGGACGGTGTAGCTTAACTCATGCTTTATATGTTTCAGCAATGGAAAATCCTGAGGTCATTGTTAGCAGCTGCAGCTCACATGACGATGAATACAGCTACAAAGGACAACCTTCAATCTGTCAGGAATTGCTTTTGGAAGACCAGCTGAGAAGGAAACTTAAATTCTTCTTCATGAACCCTTGTGAAAAATTCTGGGCCCGAGGGCGAAAGCCCTGGAAACTTGGGATTCAAGTTCTGAAAATAGTGATGGTTACCATCCAGGTGAGGCTCAGGAAGCCTGAGTGTAAGTTACCTTCTGAAGTTCTGTTCTGTAAGTTATTGCCTGTTCTGAAACATGAGTCCAAGAAGCTACTGAATTCAGAAAATGAGTTCAAAATTATGGATTTAATGCTTTCTTTTGTTTGAGAGAAATGCATGTCCAAGTAGTTCTGAATGGTAGAAATAGAAAAATTCTGATCTACATTTATTAAAATATTAATAGCATGATAAGAGGGAAGTTTGTTTGGGTGCAGCCATCAGGTGGGAAGGAGAAGGTATCATGTATGCAATACAAGGATTTTTTTTTTTTTTTTGCTTTTAATAACCTAGCCCGTTTCCTTGTGGAAACTCTGTGGCACAGCTGGACTAACATGTAGTTAAATTAATATCACTACTGGTTTGAGCAGGACTCTGTTTTGTGACAGTACTCACCAGTACTGAGTACCAGCATCTTCATAGGCCCTGGTCCTGCATTGGCCTGCCCCATTCAGCCAGAGAATGAGAGAGTGGACCCTCAGGAACAGCTATTGAAGATCTGCAGAGTGAGGGGGGAAGTGGTGGAAATTGGTGTAACCTTATAAATGAGTACTGTTGCTATTTTATAACAAAAAAGGCGCTAGTTTTAAACAACATTGGTGCTTTTCCTAAGGCAAGGCTTCTTGCCGGCTGATGAGGGGTTCTTGTCATACAGAAATCCCATATCTAATACTTTGCCTACAAGAACATTCCTTATTGTAGAAGGTGCAACTCTAAGACTGCTATAAAAAGTAACTTTAGTTGGAGTAACTATTGTGGTTTTCATATGCCTTTCAGCTGGTATTTTTTGGGTTAAGTAATCAAATGGTGGTTGCTTTTAAAGAAGAAAACACAGTGGCTTTTAAACATCTCTTCCTGAAAGGCTACACGGACAGAATGGACGACACCTATGCAGTGTATACACAAGTGGATGTCTATGATCAGATCTTCTTTGCAATAAATCGGGTAACCTCTTTATTGTTTGTATTGTTGTACTATTGGCCTGCAGCACCCTGAAATGCCTCATCTCGAACAGAAGATTTTATATATTTAAAATATGTATGCTGCTTTTCCACATTAAAATGCCATTTAAAATACCAATTTATATAAAATATTTAAATCAGTTAAATAAAACACACAGTGAGGAGGCCTATTAACAGTTAGTGAGGGAATTCCAAACATAACAAAAAGACAGTGATGGAGACAGACCAGTCTCCCTGGGCAAGGAGTTCGGAAGTTTCAGTGCCACGACCAAGACAGCCCTTCCTCAGGTTGCCACCTGTCTAGACTCAGATGGTGAGGGCATGCAAAGAAGGGTTCTGAAGATGACAGTTGTGGTCAGGTAGGTTCATATGGGAGCAGGCAGTCCTTCAGGTATGCTGGCCCTGAGCCGTATAGGGCATTAAAGGTCAATACAAGCACCATAAATTGGGCACAGGCGCAAACTAGGAGCCAGTATCTAGATGGAACAAGACTGGATTGATATGGTCCTTATGACCCACTCCAATCAACATTCTGCCTGCAGCATGCCATGCCAACTGTATTTTCTGGATAGTCTTCAAGGGCAGCCCATGTAGAGTGCATTGCAGTAATGTAATCTAGATGTTACCAGGGCACTACAGTGGCAAGATCTTTTTTCTGCCCAAGAGGTTCTCCAGCTGGCTCACCAGCCAAAGCGGTTCCAGCCTCTCACATATTAATTCTTTTGATAATTTTTTGATAATTTTAACAATTTTAATTTTTTGAACAATCTCAGTTTATCAACAACTTTAACAACGTTTTAGATTTTTAATTTTACTTAGCCATATTTTCATTTTAAATTGTTATTTAGTTTTCCATTTGATTTCACTCATTATTTAATCAATCTACCTGTTATATTTATATTTATTTATTTTATTGTATTTATTGCATTTCACCTTCCCTATTTTAATCCCGCTCAATCACATTTTAACCTGCTGCCTCAACTGAAAGCCTGGCAGAAGAGCTCAGTCTTACAGGCCCTGCAGAACTGTAACTGGTCCCGCAGGGCCCTGATCTCATAAGGGGGCTCATTCCACCAGGTGGGGGCCAGGGCTGAAAAGGCCCTGGCCCTAGTTGAGGCAAGTTGGACAACCTTAGGGCCAGGGACTACCAAGAGATGCTGGTTTGCAGAAAGCAATGCTCTGTGTGACTCGTATGGGGAGAGGCAGTCTTGAAGATATGCAGGCCTCTGTCCATATAGGGTAAGCACCTTGAAGTGGAGCCAGAATTCAATAGGCAGCCAGTGCAGTTCACGCAGCACCAGGCAGATGTGGGCTAGGGAATTCTTTGGGAGGGGGCCTCAGGGGGCCCACCAGCTAATTAAATGAAAGTACAGTGCAGGTGGTAAGTTGGAGCACTTTGGGGTCAGCCCAGGAGGGAGGGGGCCCAGAAGAAACACTAGGGGGCCAGGCCCCCTGGGCCCCGTGTTAGCTACGGGCCAGGCCCACACAGGCTGTGACATTGTCACCTATGCTGCTGCATTCTGCACTATCTGTAACTTCCGGAGCAGAGTGAAGGGTAGCCCCACATTAAGGGAATTACAATAATCCAATCTGGAAGCGACCATTGCATGGGTCACTGCAACCAGGTTGCTGGGGGAGAGGTATGGGACCAATTGCCTGATCTGCCTCAGATAGAAAAAGGCAAATCTGGCTGTGACCTGGACAGCTGTGGTTTCCTCCTCTCCCTGTTTGGGCTCTGCTGAAGTGTGGAGTGACTCACAAGGCTTTAGAAGTGTTTCTGATTACAAGCCCATTATTAGAACAACGTTTGAGTCCAGTGGCCCTTTTAAGTTTTGGTCTTAAAGGTGCCACTGGTCTCAAACTTTGTTCTACTGCTTTAGACCAATACGGCTGCCCACCTGGATCTAAATCCATTATTACTTAGACTTTTAATTCCCCCTTTCTTCATCTCTCCTTCTAATACTGGACCATGGGCCAATCCCCAAACTATCAGATTGCATCTAGACTAACATTTCTGCAGATACAAGGACTTCTACTCATTGAACACATTTCTCTTGCCTTCCTCCTCCTGCAGCACATTGAAATTATTCAGTGTTTCAGCTGCTGTGGAAGGGGGGAGGTAGGAAAATTGTGTCCTGTGAGAGGAAGTTGTGCTTGCAGCAATGTTAGTCTGGATCCAAACCATCTTCTCGCTATTAAGTGACTTTTGGAATCAAGGTATTGTGGCTATTCAAGTGAAACCTAGCCTTCTGAGATACTTCCATTGTTGTCCAGCTACCCAGTTTTATGAACCTGGCTGAAATCATCATTGGTGTGAATATAAGAATTGCCTTATCTGACCAAGGTCCACCTGGTACAACCCTCGGTTTGTCTTCAGCCTCTGATTTGGTAGGGAAATACCATAACTTCTGTTGAAATAATTTCCAAAATGGGATTCTGCCTATTTCTTGCCAATAGGGTAACTACCGCCATTCAAAATGCACTAGGTGCAACCTCGGCAGTATGGCCCAAGCTACCTCACTGTGTATCAGTGAAACCAAGAGAAATTGTCATTTTATGAAGGCAACATACCTGCTTTCATAAGCTTTGTGTTTCCTGAATGAAGTATCTTAGTTAAGTGAGGAAATTGTCCATTCTTATCATAAGAGTACATGGAAAACCCACTAAAGTATATGTGTATTCTGATACCACCAGAGACTTTGTGTGTCTATTTTTGGTTGAAAGAAACTCAAACTAGGAGACCAGGGCCTAAATCTACCCAGGAAACTTTAAACATTTGGCCTCAGATGCTCTGTTGGTGTTAATTAGTTGTTGTCATTGACTTAGTATTTACAGCTGCGCAGCATATCTGTTGGAAATCATGCATATGAGAAGAAAGGAGCAGAAGAGACAGCCATGGCAATATGCCAGTACTTCTACAAACGAGGCACCATTTGCCCTGGAAATGATACTTTTGATATTGATCCACAAATTGAAACTGGTAAGGTTCCTAACTTCTCATGCGAGAGTGTTGAATAGAATAAAAGTTTTCTGGAGTATGAAAGAAACCCTAAATTTCCTGTAGCATAAAGTATTCTTATCAGTTGCATTTGTGTAGATTTCTGAGATGTACAGACCCAATGTATGCATGGAGTCTTTTTAATGAGAAGAAAATGTTTCTTACATATAGTAAGAAATCTTCAGGATTCCTCCTCTTCCTCACTGCAGAGTTTCAACCCTCATGACTATTAGTCCTAGGGGTTGAGGTGGCTGCTGGGGGGAGGGTAACACCAGGAAGATCAGCAGTTTTCTTGATCCTCACAAGCTCCTTGTGCTGGATCCAACCATTGGCTTTAAAACATATATGAAGTGTTCTGAAGTGGCATGTGAGGGGTTTTTTTCCAGTTGTGCAATTTGAGGAGCCAAGAAATTTGAAAGAGCCCATCAAGAAGTGGATGTGTGTGTCTAGAATGCATGTATAGTAAAACTTACATGTAATATAAAAATCATGACTGCCTTTCTTTATAAAGTAAATGAGTGAAACATTGTAGAACCTACTGTGATTAAAATGCATTAGGGTCATTAAGGACTAGAGACATTGCAGGGCCAGATTTGGTCCAAGGGACTGCCACGTTCCCTCTGATCCCCCCCCCCCACTGAACAGAGCCGTTCACATCCCGAGCAGAATGTAACTGCTGTAATCTTAAAATGGGCAATGGGCAGTGCAAGACCCTGCACGGCTCCAGATTGCTGCTGAGTGGGGCTTCCTGTGTTAATGAGCAGCTGGTCACATGCACAGCTTAGAGGGAACACTGACTGCTAGTTGCTTGCCTTCTATCTAAAGCTAACTTTACCTTGTGAGATGCCAGGTGGCTTCCCATGCAGTCTGTGCCTGTGTTCTTCTTGCAGAATGTTTTTATGTGGAGCCAATGCAGCCACTGGATAATGGGACACTGAGGAGGAGCGCTTTCAACTTCACTCTTGACTTCCATAGGTGAGGTGCAGTACCAACTGCTTGTGTTCGTGCACCTGGTTGGTAACGGTAGAAATAAATGCCAAACTGTCTTCTAGACTTGTGACTGTGCAGCTCACGTTCAAACTGAAGGCCATCAATCTTCAGACGGTTCGTCACCACGAACTTCCAGATTGCTATGATTTTACCCTGACAGTAAGTAGAAGCTTGGATGAATCGTTCCCATGCTGTAGAGTTCCAATGGTTCTGAAAGGTCACTCTGTGAATGAGTTGGGAATGATGAGCCAGAATCACATTAGCACATCTTCTGGCAGTCCTATGGCTGCTCCTCCTTTCCGCACACAACTTCCTTGCACCTGTATAGGAGAAGATGTTAAAACAGTACTCTTATGGGGCTAGACTGGGCTCAGGAATTAACAGCTGGTTATACCTAGTTTAGGGATAATGTCTGACTTTTATTGTTACTATCTCAGACAAACCTGTCTATCATCTTTGGAGGCTCAGTTCTGTATGCTGTCTAAATTGGAATTGTGCCACCAGGGACAGGGCCTTCTCTGTTGTGGTGCTTCAAGTTATGGAACTCCCCCCCCAAAAAAATTATTCCACTGGAGCCAACCCTACTAAATTTTCAGCACCACCTTAGACTTTATTTACCCAGGTTTTTTGTTAAGTCTTTTTTTTTTTTGCTAGTGTTTAAAATCTCCTTATAACACTCTAGATCTAAGTATTATTGATGCTGTTTGTATATTGCCTGCTTTTTCTTTTGCATGTTTTATTGCTGTGTTAATAAATCTATTTGCTGGAGTTTTTAAGGATTGTTCTTGGTTTTACTGCTGGCATTACTTTTAACAAATTACTATTACTAATGGTGCTAATTTTTAAATGGTCTAATTTTTTAAAGCTACACTGAGAGCCATTGATCTGCAAGTATGGGTTAGAAACTGTTTACGTAAAATACATAATATACATTGAAAGTTCAAGATGGCTTTCAGTGTTCGTCTGTCTGTAGCAGTAGAAAAGAGCAAGAGTCCAGTAGCACCTTAAAGACTAACAAAATGTATGGGTTTCTTGAATCACTGCTCATACCCTGCCACAAACTTTGTTAGGCTTTAAGGTGCTACTGAACTCTTACTCTCTTCTATTGAGAGTTCAGTTCACCATTTATAAATATTGATTAAAAAGAAGTCTTTATTAATACGTATGGAATGATAGCTAACAGGCAAGAGCTGTATTCTGTCTGCACCTCCCTCAGGCAAAATCTGTATTCTGTCTGTACCTCCCTCAGCTTTCCAAATGAGTGACTATCCAGTTTCTGTAGTCTGAATCTGCCATTTATACTGATTGTTATTCTCCTGAGATTCCTTTCTTTAGTAAATGTTGTTGGGGGAGGTATGGGTAAGGTTACTAAATAGAATGCTAGGCATAGTAACAGTGGCCATTGGGGAGGGGGACAATCAAGGAGCTGTGCAGAGTACTGAACCCCAATTCCCTTGGCAATGTTTCACTTTTGAGACTTGGAAGCATTGTCCCCATATTTTTCAGGTTTGCGCTTTCAGCCATGAGGGCTACAGACTTATTTTTAAAACAAAAAAACTGATAGTGTTAAGCAGTTGCTCATTATTTACATGGGAAATGCTTCCATGTAGGATATAGCATGAAACAGGCATGAACATCTGTGAGCTCCACACTATGAACAAAACTTTGAAAACAAGTAAGACTTTATCAAGGGGGGGGAGATTAAGACGACTTTTAATCCAGTTTTAGTTATGTCAAGATAGTATATGCACATAGTCTTCTATATAAACGTACGTATTCTGTCTCCTCCCCCCACATAGATAGTGTTTGATAACAAAGCACATAGTGGAAGAATTAAAATAAGCCTCGACAATGATATTGCAATCAAGGAATGTAAAGAATGGCATGTTTCTGGATCAAGTAAGTACCAACTTCACATATATTTGGTGTTGCTCTATAACTAATCTTTTTAGTTAAAAAGCTAAAAAGAGAAATTTGTCCATTCTTTTCACAGGCCACTATTATGCTGATAATTCAGGGTTTAATTCAGGGGAGTCTGATTTTATACTTTAGGCCACAACATCTTTAGAATGGCTGGATGTATGTGAATTTTAGGAAGCAGGCCTTTTGTCTTGGGCCTGCTTCACATGTTGATGTAAGCAGTACATGAAAAATATTTTATGGATGCCTATGCAATGCAGTATATGAGATCTGCATTTTGCAAAGGTTTGTGTTATGTGTGTGTACTTATTCGGGTCACTGGAAATTAGCTATTACTTTCCACTTGTTGGCAAATGCAGGTTATCACCCAGTGACATATTGCTAAAGTGTAATTGCCACATAGCCAACCATTCCGTTGGCACTTGTGATTTATGACTTTAAAAAGGAGATGCTAGAAATAGCCTTGCTCTAGGAATGGAAAGAGGGCAAAGACTGTGAGTGAGAGTATTAAATTCTGAAAAGGTTAAATGCTATATTTTAATGGAACTGAAGTAATATAGGAAAACTGCTTAATTTGTACACTAGATGGAGTCCTCTACTGATCTGTGTAAAGTGCTAATGTTTTTATATACACCCATAGAGGCTGTAAAATACACAAGAATGCTTGTTAATTTCAAATGTTACTAGATTCAGAGGCTTCATGCTATATGGTTTTTCCTAACCCACAGCAGGGTTGCAATGGTACATTAACCATAAGCATTCAAGTTTCTGTACATGATATTCTTCATGGTGATATCCCTGTGGTAGGCTGTGGGGAGTTGTGGTAATGAGTCCTTTTTCCAGCAGGGCCATAGCCAGGGGTTATTTCGTAGAAAAAGAGGTGCAGGAGCTCATTAGCACAACTTATTTGTGTATGCCACACCCCCTGACATCACCGGAAGTGTGTCAGAAGGCAACACCCACCACTTAGGCTCCACTGGACTGTTTTGGATTGCTAGCTATTGGGGGGGGGTATGTGCAGATCTGCCCTCACAGAGGAGGGAGAGCTTGTACCTGAATAAAACCTGGTCTTAAAGGTGCCACTGGACTGTTTTGGACTGGGGCGGGGGGGGCTCTGCAGCTTACCTGGCTGCTTCTTGCTCTGACTGAGGGCTGCTAGGAGCAGGGGGTGGGGCTTGTTGCATGTGCCCACCCCTTGGGCTCTTTACTGCCGGAGCTCCACTCCTGTGCGCTCCTGCAGGAAATGACCCCTGGCCATAGCCAACCTTCCTCGTTAGGTGAGGATGCCATATTTACAGACAGGGCTTCAAAAATATTAGAGGAAATGATACTCTGCTTCACAAGAGAAACCTCAGTTATCCTCTTGTCAAGCCCAGTGCTTAGATGTATGAAAGCAGCAATCTGTTGCTGACCTGGTCCAAGCCTACAAGAAATGAGAACATACCCCCAAGTACCACAAAGATGGTGCCGATTTCCCATCTCTATAAATGGCAGCCAATAAGTAGAAGAGAGTACAGAGACTCACCATGTGATAACATGTCACATGTTTTTATGTTACAGACATAGCTTGGATCCACCACAGATGGAAGGATCTCCATGCACAGTGTGACTTTCTCACCTTCCACTGCAGCCCCAAATCCCCCCTGAAATAATTTCATTGGTGGAAATGCTCGGGTGGATCCAAGACAGTGGGAGGAGGAAGAGAGGAGGAGATTAAGTGGGACTACTGCTTTTCAATGACACAAGCAGTAATATCCAGTTCTAGCTTCTATAGACCCCTAAATGAGGACTAAGCATGACCCTGTCAATTACTAGGATCAGCCACATCTTAATGTAAATATGTGATTCACAAAGTAGATGTGGTTTTACCTCCAATTCATGGGAAACTCTGACGAGCTACAATAAACGGGAATCTAGTGGCACCTTAAAAATTAACAAGATTTTATTCTGTCATAACACTTTGTGGATTAAAGACCACTTGGTCTCATGCAGGTAGTGGATCCTCACTGGGCAGACATTTATATGATGCTATGGGGAAAGTATAAACAGCGAGGGGCATGGAAGTAAAGGGTGAAATGAAATAATGAAAAATTCAGATGTAAGCAAAAGAAGTACAGCAACCATTAATAGTAACATGTCATTTCTATAGTTTTGGTAAGTTAATTAACACCAGAAACGGCTGTAGAGCAAGGGTGTCAAACATACGGCCCGGGGGCCAGAACCAGCCTGTCCAGGGCTCTTATCTGGCCCACAACCAACTGGTGCAAGGAAAGGGAAGGCAGGAGGCTGCTTGGGGGGGGGGCGCATACAGTGAGGTGTGTGTGGTTAAAGCTGTCAAGAAATGGAAAGGAAATTGCTAGGGGACAGGACTATGAGGCTTAGGTAAGATAGTGGGGGGGGGATGGCAGTGAAGGAGGAGAAAGAGGAGGTGTGGTGCTTTTCCCTCTCCTGCCTCCTCTGACTGCAGCTCAGCAAAGTTACAACATGGAGGGGCAGAGCCAAGTCTCTGGTGCTGCCACTGCCAACCAAATGACGGCCGTGAGGGGGGGTTGGTGAGAGTGGGCACGTGGAGCGGAGGCTTGCCAGCAAAACAGTGGGGCTGTCAGGGGAGAGAGGCGGAGGAGGGCCAACATGTGGGTTGAGAGGCAGCTGGGCTATCTTCTGTATGCAACTCTGAGGGGAAAGATGTTCCGGCCTTGGGAATGAGTGGAGGAGTGAAAGGAAAAAGGGGTGCCCCTGTTGCCGCTGCACATATGAACAGCTGCAGAACTGGGAGGCAGAGTGAGTGTTGAGGGGAATGGTGACCTCCTTTCCTTCCCACACCTGTTCTCAGCCCACGAAGGAAAAGAAGTAATGGGAGGACAATAAGCACCCCTTGGAGGTTTTGGAAACAGTCTTTCCTTCAGGCCTTCCCCACAGCCCTGCCACTTCTATGGGAAATGCAGGAAGGATGAGAACTGGGGGGGGGGTCTGGGACAGCCAGGTTCAGACCCCCCCTCCTGAGCTGGGAACCTATCGTCTGGGTCACCCAGGGCTGGTTGCTCTGCCTGGCCAACCTCACAGGATTGTTGGTGGTGGTGGGAATGGGGTGGTGGAGGGGGGAGCAGGTGTGCCTCTTCGAGATCCTCAGAGGTAGGATGGGGGAAGAGAGGAAACAAAGAGTGAGAGATGAATCGTAGCCATGCTTGGCTGCTGAGGCTGGGCATATGGGGAGGGTGCTGAAAAACTTCCTTATTTACTTGCAAGGAAGATAACTTCTCTCCTTAAAAGTGCTATATATACAAATAGTATCTAATTTGTATGGAAATATAAGATTACCCCCCCACATGGTATCCCTTGGGGGAAAAACTAATCTTGCATATGATTAAATACATTTATTGGGGCTTTTGTGGATTCCCCCCAAAATTGATTGCTTTCACTTCCAGGGATCAATAGCTTTTGTTTGTATTTTGAGTAAAAATTAATATAGTTAATTGGGTTTGCCCGTGTCATTTATCAAGCTTATATCTTCCATACCTGGTATTACATTTTATGGCACACATGGCCCAGCCTGACAAAGTAACATTTATGTCAGATCTGGCCCTTGTAACAAATGCATTCGACACCTCTGCCTGATAGCAAGATAGCTGACACCGACTAAGGACTCCTCAGCTCTTGTTAAGCCCTTCAGGAAGAGAGTACACTAAACCTCTTGATCGATTCTAGTTCCTTGTTTCATATTGGAGTCTCCCTGTGAAGCTGTTTTTGTTGAAGAATGGCGACTGCTAGATCAACAGGCTAACTTTGTTTGGCCATACCCATCTGTGCTGTAATCTCCAAGATCACTGAGCACTGCAGTCTCCCTTCCATGGTGGTCACCTCTCTGTAGAGAAAGCAGACTTCTTCCTAGTTGGCTTCATTTATCAGGGCTAGTTCATGAACAACATTTTGCCTACACAGATGGAAGTACACACTTTGGTCCCAAGGTCCACTAGGAAGCCACATGATTCTGTAATCTTGCTTTTGCTAAGCAGGTATGATACACTGCCTTTCTATGCTGCCTTGAGCTCCATGAGAGAACAAAGACTGGAATATAACTGTAGTAAATAATGAATGAGTGCAGGTGGGAAAAAGGAAACAAGATTTTTAAAACACATCATATGTCTGATTTTCCCCCCCTTAGTACAGAAGAATACTCACTACATGATGATCTTTGATGCTTTTGTCATATTGACATGTTCAGCATCACTGGTTCTTTGCACACGATCTGTGATTAAAGGAATTCGTCTACAAAGGGTAAGTTAAGCTTGATACAATTTCCTAATACAGTGTCTCACCAGCTTTTCAGTCACAATTTCTCTTCTTTCTCTCACCCTCTCCCTTTAGGAATTTGTGGCCTTTTCCCTGCATCATTATAATAAAGAAATATCTTTCAGCGATCAGATGGAATTTGTCAATGGATGGTATATCATGATCATTGTTAGTGATGTCCTAACTATAATTGGTTCTACGCTGAAGATGGAAATACAGGCAAAGGTAAGATGCTTGCATTGACAGCACAGGTTTTTCAAACCCTTCGTCTTACTCAAAAACTCCTTGTAGTGTACTAGAGTTCTAGGTTACATATTTAAAATGGCATGAATATATACACTGGGCCCTGAACCATCTAATACTGAGGTAATGTCTGCTGGCAGAGTAGTTAACACAGCAACAATGCACAACCTGATTAAAAGGTAGATAAAGGTTTATTTAGGAACTAACATGCTTGATAGGAAAGAGGAGAGACAGAGATTGATTCCCAACTACATCTCCAGCTGAAGGAGAGGGAGAGACTGACTGTGGCACTTCTAAGAAGAAGGAAATTGGAGACAGACAAGGAATGACACTGAACAGGTGAGAGAAGGTACTGTCCTCACTATCCTATCTAAATGTCTTCTTACTGCCCCTTTCAGGGTCTTAACATAAGAATATAAGAGAAGCCAATGTTGGATCAGGCCAATGGCCCATCCAGTCCAGCACTCTGTCACACAGTGGCCAAAAATACCAGGTGCCATCAGGAGGTCCAGCAGTGCGGCCAGGACACTAGAAGCCCTCCCACTGTTGCCCCCCCCAAGCACCAAGAATACAGTGCATCACCTGCCCCAGACTGAGAGTTCCTATCTATACCTTGTGGCTAATAGCCACCGATGGACCTCTGCTCCATATGCTTATCTAATTCCCTTTTGAAGCCGTCCATGCTTGTAGCCGCCACCACCTCCTGTGGCAGTGAATTCCAAGTGTTAATCACTCTTTGGGTGAAGAAGTACTTCCTCTTATCCGTTCTAACCGAACCGCTCAGCAATTTCATGGAATGCCCACAAGTTCTTGTATTGTGCGAAAGGGAGAAAAGTACTTCTTTCTCGACCTTCTCTATTCCATGCTTAATCTTATAAACCTCAATCATATCACCCCTCAGCCGTCGTTTCTCCAAGCTAAAGAGCCCCAAGTGCTCTAACCTTTCTTCATAGGGAAAGTGTTCCAACCCTTTTATCATTCTAGTTGCCCTTTTCTGCACTTTTCCCAATGCTATAATATCCTTTTTGAGGTGTGGTGACCAGAACTGTACACAGTACTCCAAATGAGGACGCACCATCGATTTATACAGGGGCATTATAATACTGGCTGATTTGTTTTCTTCTCTTCTTTGTACACCAGACATTGCCTTTTCCAACACCCCTTCTCAAGGTCTTGTGTACAAAGCCCACAAGCCATTTTGGTGTAGTGGTTAAGTGCATGGACTATAATCTGGAAGAATTGGATTTGATTCCCCACTCCTCCACTTGCAGCTGCTGGATGACTTTGGGCAAGCCATAGTTCTGATCAGAGCTGTCCTTGAAAGAGCTCTCTTAGCCCCACCTACCTCACAGGGTGTCTGCTGTGGGGAGGGGAAAGGAAAGGAGTTTGTAAGCTGCTCTAAGACTCTGAGTGAAGGGCAGGGTATAAATCCAATCTCCTTCTCCTCTTCCTCCCTGTCTGCTAATGGAGCAAAAGTATTGCCCGTTGCTTGGTAAGGGTGGCTAGGCTGCCAGCCTTAAATTTTAATAGAGTGAATTGTTTGAGATGTTTAAAACACGCTATACCCATCTTCAGGTACTTGGAGGGCTGTCATCTAGAGGATGGTACAGAGTTATTTTCTTTTGCTCCAGAAGGTCGGACCAGAATCAATGGGATGAAATTAAATCAGAAGAGTTTTTGGCTAAACATTAGGAAGAACTTCCTGACAGTTAGAGCGGTTACTCAGTGGAACAGGCTTCTTCGGGAGATGGTGGGCTCTCCTTCTTTGAAAGTTTTCAAACAGAGGCTAGATGGCCATCTGGTAGCACTGCTGATTCTTTGAATTTAGGCAGATCATGAGAGGGAAGGCAGGAAGGGTTGCATCAGTGCTTAGTTCTTGTGGCCCTTTCTTACACACCCAGGAAAATGCTGATCACCACGTTGGGGTCTGGAAGCAATTTTTCTCCAGGCCAATTTGGCTGGAGATCCTGGAGGTTTTTTGTCATCTTCTGGGCATGGAACAGCAGTCACTGGGGGTATGGGGGGTATTTGTGAATTTCCTGCATTGTGCAGGAGGTTGGACTAGATTACCCTGGAGGTCCCTACCAACTCCATGATTCTATGATCAAATGCTACTTCTGATTGTGACCAGTCTAACATGCATTCATAATCTTCACTTTTTAGTGACAGACCCCACTGTAGTTCTTTTGCTCTAGAACACCTCCCTGCCCCCCAAAACAGCTACTGCTGGGGCTATTGAAACAACCCTGAATTTTGCTACAATTACACAGTAGGGTCTGTGACCAGGAAAGGATCTAGAAAAGGCCAATAGGCTTTCAATTTATCTTGTTTTTTATTTTTTGTCTTTCTATGAAACACAGAGTCTAACAAGCTATGATGTCTGCAGTATCCTTTTGGGCACCTCTACCATGCTTGTGTGGCTTGGAGTGATTCGCTACCTAGGTTTCTTTCAGAAATATAATGTAAGGATCTTTTTGGATCTCCATGCTGTTGTATGTATTTTATTTTCTGTTGCTACCTAGCAGTGCTAAATGCCTAGACAAAGTCTAACAGATGGGGGGGTTGTTTGTTTGTTTTTTGCAGCTACTGATTTTGACTCTACGTGCGGCACTGCCCAATGTAATTCGATTCTGCTGTTGTGCTGCTATGATTTATTTGGGCTATTGTTTCTGTGGCTGGATTGTGCTCGGTCCATATCATGTTAAGGTACTGTGTGGTTTTCATTTTTACAATATTACAGAGAAATTATCTCAACTCCTTTTGGAAGTGTAACAGTTTGTCCCATTTAAAAAAATGCTTGGGAAGGTAGGAAATATAGAAATAAGCATGCTACCAGCATGCCTATAGGGGCTGATGGTAGGGTTGCCAAGTCTGGAAAATACCTGGAGACTTTGGGGGTGGAGCCAGGAGAGGGCGTGGTTTGGGGAGGGGAGGGGCCTCAGCAGGGTACGATGCCACAGAGTCCACCCTCCAAAGCAGCCATTTTCTCCAGGGGAGCTGATCTCTGTCGGCTGGGGATCAGTTGTAAAAGCGGGAGATCCCCAGGCCCCACCTGGAGGCTGGCAACCCTAGCTGATGGTATTTCTGTCTTCTGAAACACTTCTGAACAACCCTTTGAAAATACTTACTACTAAACATGTAGTCCTGAAAATGTTCCCACTGATGTTAACTGTAGCTATGTGTATTCTGTGACTTCTTGGGAATGCAGAAAAGGTGCAAAATAGGGTACTGGGTACAAATGTCAGAATCTGTCAAACTTTTCATTTACAAGTGGAAAAAACAAGTTTCTACCCTATTTGACAGCAAACGGTGGTTTGAAAGTGAATAGATAATATTTCCTGACACTTCAGAAGCTCTGTGGGGTCACACTGAGGTCCTTTCCACATTTGCCTGCCATTCTGGATTTTCTCAGTGTTCGAGTTGAAGCAAATTAAGTCCAAAACATCATTCAAATAACCCAGGGCAACAGCAGGTTGAAACAGGGCTGACCACTGAAGGGAATTAATGTAATGCAGAATTGGGGGGGGGGGGGACGGAATAAAAAGAAGGTTGAACTCTATTTTAGAGCAGAATGGGCGGAAAACCTGGATTAAAAAGGTTGAATTTGATTTTAGTGCAGAATTGCTTGGACATTGCGGTGAACATGGATTAAACGGAGAATGTGGAAACGGCCTGTGTGTACTTGATTTCAGTGTTCTAGTGGTGGTTTGAAACTCCAACTAGTTCCCCCTATAACTTAACAAAACTAGAATAAATTATGCATAGTAAACATTTAAAACACAGGAAAATGTATGCAGAACAGGCATTTGCTAGTTCGCATCACACATATAGGTTATGGAGCTGGCATAGTGATTAAATGGTCAAACCAGGGTAATCTAGATTTAAATCCCTCAATTGCTATCACTGACTGAGTGGCCCAAGGTTATACCATCTCTCAGCCTCACCCCAAAGGGTTGTTGAAGGATAAAGGAAGGGGAGACATCCATTAATCTACACATGCTGCCCTGAACGCCAAGGGGGAATGACGGTATTAAAATAATATTAGAAACATAATTTTTTAAAGCCCAGGGTTCTCACAGCCCTAACTTTGTTTATCTGCGGCATCAGGAGAGCCGACACTGTAAGCTAGGATAATCAAAGGACCAACTTTATCTTCATTGCTCTTGAGGGATCTGCAGCACACACAGGCCAAAAAGCCATTCCAGACCTTACTGCAGTGCAGGCAATTGGTGGGAGGCAGAAAAGTCAGGTCTTCTCTGTTTTGTGCATCCCTGATCTTACCAGTGAGGCCACCCTGGCTCCAAACCCTGAGCTGTCACATGGATACAGCTCATGCTCTTCCTTGCCAAGTCTTCTGTGGTGCTTGAGGGAGGTGTGTCACGTCCAGTCCCCCCAGTCACGAGGTCTGTGGGTCACCTCAGTTGTACTGTGTCCCATTGAAGTAACATTTCCTTGCACTGCTCCTGCTATGGGCTGGGAGGGGATCAGCTTACTGCTTGGTGTGTTGCTGTGACCAATGAGTGAAAGCCAGACTAAAGCAGGTCCTTGTATGCCCCTTCTTTGGGCTGCCCACACATCCTGCGTCAGGCGCCTGGTGTGAGTGTAGGCTGGTTCTCACTTCCCATCAGCCAGTGGCCCAACCCTGCCCCTCCCCACTTCATTTGAAAGAGGGGGATGGAGTGGCCTTCTGTCTAAATACCCTAGTACCAAAAGCGTCAGTGCCAAGGAAATAGCTTGTTTGTCACTAACTTTGTGATTGTATTCAAAAGTTGTTAACTTTTGTGTGTTTGGCTCACTTTTTTCCCTAGTTCCGTTCTTTGAATATGGTTTCGGAATGTCTCTTCTCTTTAATAAATGGTGATGACATGTTTGCTACGTTTGAAAAGATGCAGCAGAAAAGCTATTTGGTTTGGTTATTCAGTCGGATCTACCTCTACTCTTTCATTAGTTTGTTTATCTACATGGTGCTGAGTCTCTTCATTGCTCTTATTACAGACACATATGAAACTGTTAAGGTATGCTTGAGGGGTTTCTGGAGGGGGCATATGGAACCAGTGCTTTTAAAAATGGCCTTATCTGATTCTCTGATACAAGAATCCTTGTGTATTTTCCCCTCCTCATAGTTTTGGCCACTTTTATACAAAAGTTATATCTAAAAATGCTTGTTTGGAATTCTCATTTTTGGCATCTTGGCAAGTTTGAACCTTACCTTCCATTCCATTGTATTTGAAAAAGTGCGCGTGCACACGAAAGCTCATACCTTGAATAAAACTTTGTTGGTTTTCAAGGTGCCACTGGACTCTAGATTTGTTTTACTGGTTCAGACCAACACGGCTTACCACCTGGATTTCAGTTTTTGAGTTTGATATGCCATGACATGTACCCTTATTTCCAAGTATTAAATAAGTCCTGTTTTCATTCAGGAAGTTATTTTAAAGAAATCATGTTCTGGGTCCATAAATTAAATACCTTTTCAGTATTCTCCCACTATATGGGTATTGCTTGTTTGTGAACAGATTCTGTGTGGTTGGAACAGAAGCTGCAGGGCTGGCTACATGAGGATACATAAAAGATCTGGTAACAGATGTTGCCTGTCTGCACTGCATTGCTTTCAGTGAAATGCACAATCTGAGTTGGATGTACAGTTTGGTGTAGTGATTAAGAGCAGCGGACTCTAATCAGGAGAACCAGGTTTGATTCCCCACTCCTCCATATGCAACCAGCTGGGTGACCTTGAGTCAGTCACAGTTCTCTTAGAGCTGTTCTCTCGAGCAGTTCTCTCGGCCCCATGTACCTCACAGGGTGTCTGCTGGGGGGGGAGAGGAAGGGAAGGAGACTGTAAGCCACTCTGAGACTCCAAGTTAAGGGTAGGGTATAAATCCAACTCTTCTTCTTCAATACATATGGTTTCCTGATCCAGTTAATGATACAAGCGTGGAATCCTGATTCCATAAGTGGGTCCTTTATTGGACTGGAGAGCTTAGGTCCCTCTGAAGCTAGTTCTGGGGATGGCAGCAGCTGTTCTTCTGCTTGAGCTAGTAGTCTCTTTACTTGTTCAGAGAAGCTGCAGAGGGTATGGGAGTTTTGGGGCTTGGAAAATACATGCTGAAGTGTGTATGTTCTTCAAGGCCAATGACCCTTAAAAGTATGGCATTTGGGGGGGGAACGAGTTGGGAAAGCTGGCTCAGAAAATGCACATCTGATAACAGGCATACTTGGGGGCCCAGTTTCTCCCCACATCTGGGTGGGGGAAGCAGAACCACACAGAAAGCTGCTCCCTTTTAGCCTGATTCTGGTAGCTGAGGGCTTGACCCTGCTCCCCACAGTAACTTGTGGGTGCTGTGCATGCAGTTTCTAATCTCCAGCTACTTTTGGGGAGAAGCTGGGGTCATTTCAAAAACACCTGCTATTTATCTCTGTGTCTTCTGGAATCCAACCCCCTTCCTTCACCTGTTTTGCTATCTGGTATGCTTGCATGCAGTAATTTTGTATGAAGAGGAAATGATCAGCAGCTGTTGGAACTGAAGTTTTATCTATTGCAGTAGTTTTCAGTCTGAGTGTATTGAATCTAATAGTAGTGCCATTTTTCAGCATTACCAGCAAGAAGGCTTTCCAGAGACAGAACTCCATGCATTTATAGCACAGTGCAAAGATCTACCGAACTCAGGAAGGTACCGATTAGAAGAAGAGAGCCCCATAACACTCTTCTGTTGTTGTAAAAGGTTAGTGAATAAGGAGGTGCCCAAACCAGCTTCTGAATGCTTGATCCATTTCCACAAACATTGCTTGTGCATTTTGCATTTAAGCAGTATCCTATATTGATTTTGCACTCCACCTTCCAGTTCTAAGTAATACATTTAGTGCACTGGCAACACCTTCTCTCCCAGTATTCTTCTCTTGTGCTTGTATTGGGCTTTAAATTTTTGTTATGCTTTATTCTGTTTCTGCTTGCCTGTCTTCACCAAAGAGAGCCATCTGCAGTTGTGAACACACCTATTTACACAGTTTCAAAGTCTCTCCCCCCCCAGTTTGCAGATCTTGCACATTCCAGCAACTTTAACAGTGTCTACAGAGAAAAATGATTTGTTTTGAATGTATCAAGGTCAATGATTTCTCAAATCCATAACGTGTGTGTTTGAAACAATTTTATTTGATATAGCATTCTTTTTTCATTTTTAGGTCTTAAACATATTGACAAGAGTATTTGGAAACTCCTGGATTACACACTCATTGCGATTTCTGTACACAATACACAAAACTCCACTGTAATGTTCTTGCAGCATTTAAATGGTAAACTTTTAACCTATGACTGTGTAACTTTTTTGATAACTCTGAGTTCCAGTTAATTTATTACATTCACTAGTACTGAAGAGGAATGCAATGGAAAACTGCCTGTGCTATTGCATGCTGGTCTTATGCTCTTAGCCTAACAGGCATAATGTTTGGATGACTATCCACTAAATGTCTTACACACTTTGCTTTCCCAAGGTACTTTGTTCATTACAGTTCTCTGTACATGTCTATACTAGCTGCAAAGACTAGTATAGTTGGATGCTCAAGTTGTCTCACTGTCATTCATCTGATGATGCTGATTAGTGCTTTGTCCAGAGTCAACAGAGATACAAGGATTAAAACACACACTGAATCAAACATTCCGGTTTTTCACACCTACCATTGCAGTCCAGACAACAAGAAGAAAATGAAGTGGGAGACACAGACTTACAGTAAAATGGAACGCCTTTTTTTCTTTCAAATATAGTGTAAGACACTGGTTTATGTATTTCTGTCCATATTAAACAGCTGCAGACTGTTTGCAATAACATAAGAGGAATGGATAATACATAGAACTAACCAGAAATATGTTCCTAACATTTTGTGCAATTTGCATTAGATTTTAAAGCTGCTAAACAGTGGCCCAGAACCTTGATGTTGAAGTGGATTTTTATAGATGCCTTATTTGCTATCCTCTTACCTACTTGGAAAACAGATATGGGGTAAAAAAGGAAATATTTTTAGACTTTTAAAAACTTCAGATGTAAAAGCAGTAGTCATGGCAAGGTGCTGAATGAACAGCCAGGCATTTTTATGTACTGTGTACAAGCTTTGAAAACGTTATGTACTGTTCACTTTTTGTAGAAAGATGCTGTAGTGGATATTGTATTAAACTTTCAAGTTAATTAACACTTGACGTGAAGAGTAAAGATTTAATCAGCACTTTCTTGTTTCAACCTTCTAGTATGTCCAGAAAGGATTTAATATTGCTGTGTTTCAAAAATGTGTGGTTGAGTTTGTTTGGAGCTAGAGAAATCTCCAATATAAAAGAAAGCATAATTCCAAAAAATGTACATTAGTATGATTGCAAAGGACATTTTATTTCATCTTATCCTTTCTGCCCCCATTACAGTTCAAGTAATGAGCATGGCATTTTGCAGTAGAAGACAAAAATAAAACAAATTTGTGGTGAATCATGCCACCACAGGGGGTTAAGAGCATGGACTCTAATCTGGGAGAACTGGGTTTGATTCCCCATTCCTCCACATGCAGCTACTGGTGTGACCTTGCGTCAGTCATAAGTTCCTTTAGAGCTGTTCTCTCAAGAGCAGTTCTCAAAAGAGCTCTCTCAGCCCCACCTACTTCACAGGGTGTATGTCGTGGTGAGGGGAAGGGAAAGGAGATTGTAAGCTGCTCTGAGACTCTTTCAGGTAGTAAAGGGCAGAGTATAAATCCAGTCTCTTTTTCTTCCTCTGGTGTGCACAAGAGGTCCTAGGCAAATTGTTTTAACTGCAACTATGTTTTAATGTAATTATCTGTTTTTATGTGAGCCGCCCTGAACTAGCTGCGGCTGGGAGGGTGGGATAAAAATCTGAAAAATAAATAAATAAATTTGACCACAGCCTTTCAAGGTAGGCCTTGAAATACCTATACAGTCCTCTGCTAGTCAGGATTGGCAATAAAGCAAGCTCACTGGACTTTTCTTATGAGTAGGCATGAAACAGTCCTTTCTGTGTTTGGCTCTGATAGTTAAGCAAATTCACAGTGTGTTATATGCTATATCTGTTGACTTTCAGATTCTATGCATGTAATTTTTTTGCTTCATTCTCAGCTCTGGTATTTTATAAACTACCCCCCCCCCCCATTTAACAGTAAAGGGCAACAACCTTCTAAGCCTGGTACTGATAGGGTTACATTCTAATATAGTTGTGTCTGCTGGTTTTTAAGCCAACCCAGTATTGGCATATCCCCAGTCACACCTAGGCAGTAGTTAACAAGAGAGTTGTAAAGAAGAAGAGAGACAGCTACCTTTCCCATATCCTTTAAAGTTTAACTTCCCTGTAATCTTGTTAAATATAACAAGATTGTACCTTCAGATCCCTAGGTCATTTAGACTGGCCAGATCATGAACTGACACCACCCTGCCTGACAATAATCCTTATTAGCACTTAAAATGAGAAGCGGAAGTGAGAAAAGCAGTCTCAACAGAGTATAATGTCAGCCACAGGAAATTAAACATGAACATCAGGTAAGACTGACTTTGCACGATTCTAAGTTGGAATTAGGGCACTGTAGCATCTTAGGAGTCAGGCTAAGCAAAGACTGATTGAATTATACTGTAGTATTTTCTGAATCCATTTGGCTCACTTTCCGCTACACTTGCATATGTAATGGGACTCTCTTCATGCAATCTGTGTAAGCTGTAACAGCATTCAGGCATGCCCAATGCTTGATGTTTGAAGCATCAAGAAGGGCTTGCATATATGAATTGGCTTTCTTCAATTTAATTACACACCAACCATTCCTCTTGTCTCAAAAGCAGGCTTTCCAGTGTTGACAGGTCATGTTAAACTGTGTCTCATCCAAGTGGCAAGAAATAAGCCACAAACCAGCCCTGCTCCTGGTGAATGCTGGCCTGTGTTTGAACAATTAAGGCCTCATTTGGGGAGGTCTGTAGGTAGGTGTTATCTGGGAAATTCATCTGGTACATTCTAAGCTTGTGGGCCCTCACCGACAACTCAAAGTAGAATCTCATTAAAAACATCAGCCTCTTTTTTATTACATCACCATTGAGCAAACTTATACAGTGAAAGAAGCTGTGAAAACTTTCCACTGTTCCCAGGAGGGAAGTGGGGAAAGACATTTGCTATTGTCTCTGCCCACCTGGTCTCAGTAAATCACATGATGGAGGAAGCAGCTCTTATGGTGTTATTTGAGGTAAGTGTGCTTAACTGCAGCTGTAATTTGCTCTGGGGGGTTTCCAGGCCAGCACAGGAAAAAGAAGAATGTCTGTGGATGAGTGCAGAGTCCAATTTTGTCGTCATTAAGCAGGCACTGCTGCTTACCCACAGCAAGTGTCAATGACGAGGCCTTCAAGACCGAATCAAAGGAAAGCTTAAATTCCAGGATCTCTCATTCTAGAAGCTAAGCGTGGCTCTGTTTAATTTCTATCCCACTCCATTTCCTGCAAGGAGGACTCAGGGCAGTGTACAACATGTATATACATCAATACATAAAATAAAATACATAGAATAAATATACAATACATTAAAAAATACAATACATACAATACAGTTATCCAGCAATTTGATCTACTGTTAGATGGCATCACAGATAGCTGGGGTGGTTGGCATACAATCCATATTCCACTCATGGGAAGTATTCCACCCATGGGGAGGATATTAACCAGGAGAGAATGCAGGGGGGGGGGAGAAACCCAGGAGGCTACTGATCTTTCTGACCATCACTGTCCTCAACTATATGCCCGGCAGAGCATCTCAGTCTTGCAGGCCCTGCGGGAGTGAGCTAAGTTCCACAGGGCCTGGATCTCACTAGGAAGAGAGTTCCACCAGGCTGGTTGAGGATAGCCAAACAGTTTGGGGGCCAGGGATTACCAACAAGTTGGTACCAATTGAATGTAATGCTCTCTGAGGGGCATGTAGGACTGCAGATATGAGAGTCCCAGACCATTTAGGGCTTTGAAGGTAAATTCCAGAACCTTGAACTCGATTGGAGCCAGTGCAGCTGACACAGCACAGGTTGTATGTGTGCTCTCTAGGGGGTTCCCGCTAGGACTTGTGCAGTCACATTCTGGACCAGTTGAAGTTTCCAGAGCAAGTTCAAGGGCAGCCCTATGTAGAGCAAGTTATAGTAGTCTAGTCTAGAAGTGACTGTTGCCTACAGGTAAATTCTTACACTGGACAGAGTCGGGTGTATTTCTGCATAATCACCCATAGGCTCATGCTAGGATTCTGTAACAATATCCCCTTCCATGCTTACTCTCTCTGTCAGCTAGTGATGTAGTTAAGAAACTATTTCTGTCTCTACTCTTCACTATCAAGTATGCTAGTTCCCGAATAAAGCTTCATCTACACTTTTTAACCAGGTTGCGCACTTTTGCTGTTAATTACTCTGCCATCAGGAATAAAATGTTAGTCTCAAGATGCTACTACTACTTACCCCTCGGTAACTAGATACCAAAGGGAAACTGGCAGGCAGACTTTTCCTGCCGTAAGGCTGCACTCCGATGCAGGTTTACTTACTTCAGAGCGTAATATTCCGCGTGAACACACGTACGCTCGGGCTGCGTCCTATTGCATCCACGGAGAAGTAGGAATAGGGTTACACGCTGATTTTCACCGACGGAAAATGGCGGTTTGATTCAGACAGACAAGTGTCAGCAACACGCCCACACTCTGCGCGTCTTTGCGCCTTTAAAATCAACGGAGCGCCTCGTTGCCAGTAAAAAGCTTTAAGAGGAGGAGTGGGGCGAGGTGCTGGGGACTTTACGCACGGAAAAGCAAGCGGAACCGCATGAGAAGGGTATGCCACAAGTCCCGCTCGCCTTGACAGCAGCGCCTCAGCGCGTCCGCTTGAGCTCCACGTGATTCGGCGCCGGCTGAGTTGAGCGCCGCTTCCCCAGCGACTGTTCCTTGCTCGACTCTCCATGAGTCCCGCCCCTCTCACTGAGCGTGTAGCCGTGGGTCGAGGGCCAGGAAAGCGCCGGCGTCCGTGCATCATGGCCATGCAGTACCTGGGTAAGGGGAGGACGCTGGTGACCAGGTGAGTGGCAGGGAAAGGGGAGTGCTTTCCTGGGACTTGGAAATGTGCTGCGAGTTCGTCTGGAAGTTCATTGAACATTGAGGACAGTCGCCTGTTCCGTCATTACCAATCTGCTGGTTTTGATTTAAACGATAACGATGAACTTCCAATAGTTGCGAAGCTCGTTCCCCATTGGGGCTATGAAGGACCGGCTCCCGCATGGTTGGGGTGAAAGGGTCTGCCTTATCAACAAGTGAAGGTAGGCCTGTTAACCGGTTTTGGAAACGCATTTTGAAAATGATCCATAATAGTCATTTATCCTATCTTTATGACCTCCCTCGATCGGGACTAAAAATAATTTATTGTAGTGAAAGTGTGTTGTTCTATCGAACTACCTAACCAAATAAACGCATGTAGGGACGTACTAAAATTTTAGGGAAGTGTGGTAAAGGATGTATAGCTGATGCGATGTCTGCTCTGTGTTCCTTAACATTGGCTGTAGCCTTAACTTGCTACAAAAAACAAAACTCTTGCAGTGTGACACTGCGTTTTTTACTTAAAAGTTACTCCAAATGATTTAAGTGGGGTGCTCCAGAGTAGAGTTCATGCAGTCTGATCCTGTGTGTGTTTACTTTTGAACTGCAATGGATTCATTAGGACTTCCAGGTAAGTGTGCATAGAATAAATACTTAAAGTTGTTTTTTCTTTAGGAAAGCAAACAGAACTTTGACACTTTATGCATGTGGCAGGTTCCTGTACTAGGAATAACACTAGGAATTAGGGCTCTGGATTAAGCCCCTTTCCCAAAATGTATGCTGAAAGTTCAGTTTGATCTCTATGCATCCTACAGAGGAGTAACGCTGTTGCTGCCTTACACTGAGTCACTCATCTGAATTAAATGAAGATCTCAAACGCATGTTGAAAGTGAATGCATCTGCAAAATGGCAATTTGAAGGCAGTGGAGTGCAACTGCATGGTTTTTGCCTTGGGGAGATTGTCTTGGGATTTTAAAGTATTAAAACTTTGAAACTGTTTAGACTTTAAAATTAGGTCTCCTTTATATGGTGCTTTAATATTAAGAGAGCCTCACGCTATTTCAGCAATGTAGTGTGGTCTGGCGTGATGTGGTCCATGGTGTTACGAAGAGTCAGACTTGACTGTGTGACTGAACAACAACAGTGTGAAGCAGCATGTCAAAGACCCTTTAGTTTTGTGAGCGGCTTGGGCCAGGGGTTGTTTCAATAAATGTAGCCCTTGAACACAGCTGGGGGAACCAGCAGAGGACAAGAAGGAGGAAGAAGAAAGCAAAACAGATGGTGAGTTAGGCTTGGTGTCTTCTGACGAGGACTCTTCTTCTGAAAAGGGGGCAGCTGCCCCCAAAAGTCCATATAAATTGAGGATAAGAAAGGATAAGAGAAAATAGAGGCTGAAGGACTCTGAATTGTGCCTGGAAATTCTGTAATAATTTTGGGATGCGTTGAGGGTTTCATGAAATACATAAATGGATGGTTTAAAGATAAATAACCTAGCATAACCGACTATGTTCAATGTATTACTAGCATTTTAGACTAACATTGAGATAAGCTGGTGTATTGATCTCCCATTCTTGGGGTTTTAGTTATTAGTGGGTTTCTTTTCTTTTTCCTTAGATGTGGTTTCCCCTCCTGTATTTTCAGTTGTAGTTTGTAGTCTTGTGAAAAAAACCAATAAAAAATTCCCCTTAGGGGGATTAAAATAAATAAATAAATAAATAAATGTAGCCTGTGAATGCAACAAAGAAGCGCTTGTACAACTTCTCACTGCATATTACTGTGAACAACAACATTGCTGGTTCATGTTCCAAGGTTCAGGTATCCAAAGCTGCTAGGTCTACTGCAGGTGTGAAGGCATCCTGAGATCAAATGAAGCTGATGGGCAATAGAAAGACAGACAAAAAGGAAATACTTCTTTACTCAACCAGTGATTAAAATATGGAAATCACTGCCAGAGGATGCAGCAATATGAACAGGCATGGACAATTTAAAAGGGGGATTAGACAGGTTGATGAAGGTTATGTCTATCATTGGCTACTAGCTATTGTGTCCAAAGGGAACCTCCACTTTCAAAGGCAGTAAACCTCTGAATACAAGTGTTGAGCTTTGGCCTCTGCACCCTGTTTTTGATCCTCTGGTGTAACCGGTTGGCCCCTACGTGAGACAGAATGCTGAACTAGATGGAACACTTGTCTGATCCAGAAGGGTTGTTCTTACGTCATGTACTTACTGCAAACAATGAATCGTTGTGCATGGTACAGTCCCATAAAATTCAGCAGTGTTTAAAAGAGAATGTTCTGGAGTAATAGGTTTGAACTACCTTTCCTCAAAGCATTTACTTGGTGATAATGGCTTGATTCAAACACTGCATAAAACTATGGCTAGTCTTAATAAGTTTGCTCCACTAACTATGGTTAGAATATGTCCAAAGCTGGATCTGAAGCCATGGTTTTGAAGATGGTTTATAATCCTATGGTTTGGTTTGGTACCACATGATGTACAAATGCAAGCATCCTGGTTTTTCCCCTGGCAATGCTCTTATCACTGTGCGGCAGGCCGCCAATTGGCTGTTCCTGATTAGTTCAGCACCCTACAGCATTTGGGTTTCTCCGGAATTAGGGAAAGAATTCTGCACGGGCCCATAATTAGGAATAAAGGTTAACCTTCTTCTGAAGTTCTGTAGTTTGTTCTGGAAAATGATCTCTGGTTACTGGGATCGAAAATCAAAAGCTATCAAACACCATTTTATTAAGACCAGCTTAAATATCCAAAAACGTCTGAGTTCTCCATAATTTATCAGGCTGGAGGTTCAAAAAAGGGGTGGATCAAATCTGGATTGCAGGCCACTGACAATTTCTGTTGAATCTGAATAGATAAAGGGGTACTAAGTAGAACTTGGTTTGGGTTGCACCCTTGACCTTCTAGGAAGAAGAGAAGACTATGCCAGACTCTAACAGCAACAACAATAATAATAATAATTAATAAGTGGTTTCTGATGCATAAAGTTCTTAAGACTTTCTCCATTCCCACTCTACTATACAAACAATATGACTTCCGCACACAGCTCAAAGCCATGCAACTCTGGTAATTTCGTAGAACTGGGTAAGTACTTACTTAGGGTTTCCAGAAAGGCAGTGTTTGCTCTTAACACAAATGAGCAGAAAAAGTTTTTCAGTTTGATGTTTTTGGTCATGAGTTAGCTGGCAAGTTTTAGGCTTGTTTGGCTAATGCATAGCCACAGGGACCTTTGGCTTCATTCGTTCCTTCGGTGGAAGGATGTTTTACGGCTGTTCTGTTTATGCAGCATTACAGGGCCAAATATAGACAGATGGTAAAAGCGGCTAAGAAGGAAGTCATTGTCACTGGTGGATTCTGTTTATAAACTCAGGTGCTGATGAACTGCAGGATTTCTGTGAGTACTTCTTTAGAGTCAGGGCACTGAGATCAACTTATATCTTAAAAGTAGTTGTATGTAAGATAATCCTGGTGGGGAAAGAAGCATCATAGAAATAGCAAGGGGAGGGTGTGCTTTCTCCACCCACAGCTTTTCCTCTGCAACTCTTCCCCCCCCCACCCCCGGCAGTTCCAGGTACATATTTTTGCAGATATTCCCTCTAGACAGTTCTAGAAACAAAGTGTCTAGGCAGCAGGGAGTTATTTTAGATGAAGAAAGAGCTAAGCATGTACACTCTGCTGCTTCCCTGCTGAAAAGTGTTCTCTCCTGATAGTGGTTTTCAGCAAAGATGCGAACTGTTGAGTGTTTCATACTGCATATTGCATGTAATATGTAGGTTGACCCTTAGCCTGTGTCTCAAACAGTTGGACTAAGAAGTGCCATGAGGGCAGCAGTGTCTTCTAACAAAACAGGTCTGTGTACTTCACTTATGCTGTCTTAATCGTGGTTTATCGAATGTTAATGTTTACCAGCTTTCTGGAAAACAGCCATCTTTACAATGCCATGCCTTCTGAGATGTGCAAACAGGCCCTTCTGGTGTGCTGAAAGAACTTTCTTTTGTTATAAAAGGGCAGTGTACCTTCTTTCTCTTTATTGAGAAGCTCTTTTCCTTTATGGATTTCTGAATAAAAAGAACAAGTGTAAAATGCATTAAGGTATGTTGAACTTAAAACCTCAACCCATCTATTGCAGAAGTATGATGGCTCAGCCAGATTCAGACTATAAGGAAGAGGCATCTCTAAAGGAAGATTTAAAGTTCTATTTTATGAATCCATGTGAAAAATACCGAGCCAGACGTCAAATACCATGGAAACTGGGGCTACAGATATTGAAAATAGTTATGGTTACCACCCAGGTAATTAAAACAAGCTAATTTAGAGTTACGCACTGTGCTCGGTCATTAATCGGGCAGTCAATAAACAGTCTTTCAGTAACTGTTGGCTACTTAAGTCCTACTTTGTTTTAAGTAGCAAAAGTGAATTGTAAACAAAGGAGTGGAGAAGGAGGGAGGAAAGTAACTGCACTGCCATAAAGTTTTCTGGTGACATTTGGACCACCAAGGTTCTTTGTTTATTCTGATTTGCCACTGAAAAGAATACAAGGTTAGCCATTAGTTACTGATGGTTCCTAGGGCTTTAGGGTGTATGTGTGTGTTTGAGCATAGAGGCTGTTGTCTTCTACTCTTTAATAAGCAAGCATGAAAAATATTAGTGGGGAGTGCTATATAAACTCCAGTCACTTATCAGTTGTTTCAGTATCACTACTGTTTTGTCTGCTGCTGTAGAAATGGAACAGACTTCCCCCCTCTTGGTTTGTGTGTTTCCTCTGAGCCACATAGTTTATTTTAAGGACCACCATGCAAATAATATTAGTTTATGAAGCTATTTATAAGATTAAGCAATAAGCACCATCATCTGATATCTTAATGTTGAATAGTTGAAGCTGTTTTGTATTTAAAATTAGGCTGGGGGGAAAATCTGTGCTGCTTAATTTCCGAAGTCTGGTTTTATGAAGCTGTGCTTGAATTTAGAAATAGATGTGCCTGCAGTTCAGTTCCAGTGGCCTCATTTCTTGAGCACAGAGTTAACACAGATAGGGATGAAATGGGGTGCTTCTGTACTTCTGATCTCCTCAAGTTGCCAGTGCAGTATCTTCAACTGGGATTCCATATGGTACAGTTCTCCCTTTCACAGTAGATGCACATTACCATCACTCCTTTCCCCCTTGTGGTCTTTCCTCCATCATGAATCTCTGCCTGCATTTCCTTTAAAAAAATTTAAATTTGGGGCACATAATACAAGACTTAAAAAATACAGCCTTCTGCATATTTTCATAGCACTGCTCAGGAATAATGCAAAACTTTGCCTTCAACCCCTTGTACTTGCCTACCTACTATAGTGCAACACCCCCCGCCCCCATGGAAAGGCCTCCCCCTTTCAACTGGCAGCTGATTTTTCCCACCCACCCTTTCTGAGTTAAAATGGAAACACACACAAAACTTTGATTTTTGAATTGAGTAACTTGAGTACTTGCGTAACAATACAACACTAGAGATTAAAAAAATAAAATTAAAACATGGTATAGATAGATGGAGGGATGTGTGATCTTTTCATTGAAACCAAAGGCATACCTTCCATTTGGGAATCTTTCCTTTGCAATCTTCTTGTCCCTCTTTATTCTTTATTCTTCATTCAGAGATCCACACAATGTAACAAAGTGCAATTGTGCTGTTTAATATTACTTAAACAAACAGCATTTTTAGAAAACCCTAAATACAGCCTCCTCTTTCCCTTGCAGTTGCGACTTGTCAGTAAAGCTGAGTGAGATTTTAAAAAGTTAAAAAAACCCCACCCTAATGGCTAGGCGGAGGAAGGGGGTAGGAGGCATTCTTTTTAACTGAAACTGAAGAGGAGCACCTTCCATTTCAGCACATTGAAGAGAACACCCCAGCAGCATCATGCATGGAAAATTTGTCCCCCCCCCCAGGTTAAAAAAACACATTTATTTTAGGGGGGGGGGAAGGTTCAGGCATGAATGCAGGGCAATGTTATGGGAAAACAGGAAAAACGCACACGAGTTGAGTGGCTAAAATTGGGGGGGGGGGGGGGAGCCTGTGTGAAAGTAGCCCAGGTTGGTGAATCTGTATGTTCTGATATGAAAGCCAGGCTTTAATTTTAGCAGTGGTGTTGCACATGTTAAAAACAGCAAACTGTTTGATTTACCAGGAGAAACCATACATATATACGTTTAAAGATTCAAAAACTGCTTTCTACTTTTTCTTTTTAAGCTTATCCTTTTTGGTTTGAGTAATCAATTAGTGGTTTCCTTCAAAGAAGAGAACACAGTTGCATTCAAGCATCTGTTTCTGAAAAACTACTCTGGTGTTGATGAAGATGACTACATCTGCAGTGTGTACACACAGCAAGATGTTTATGACAGCATCTTTTTTGCAATTAATCAGGTAGGTATGTGTCGATGGCTTCAAAACGCAGAGTTTTTGACATGTTTAATAAGACATTTGCGATCATTATAGTTAATTCAAAAGACAGACGTCTGAGTGCAGTGGTCCATAGGAAACCTTTTTGGCTTTAGGCTGGAGTACCTTCCTGAGGCCTATAAAAATAATAAAGTGTCTTCTGAATTTGCAGCCACTCTTATATTATGACTGGCTGAATGTTTAAAGTCACACTTTTTTTTTTTAAAGTTATAATTGCAAGTTACCTGTAAATACTTGGGGGAATGGAGGAAGGTGTTTAGAAATGTTACAATTCGTGTGTGAAGGTCCAGGCATATTTTAATTATGAGTCCTGCAACACTGTAGCATCATATTGTTGGAAGAGCACCTTAAATTATGAATCAGCCCTTGTTAGGGCTCACTGAGTGTTGTTTACATTATTTTTTTTGGTATTGTGTGTCCTCTTCCTACACTTCCATCTTATTTTTATCAATTGACCAGCCCTAAATATTGAAGGGCTTTTGTTTTGGCCAGGTTAAATGGTTTTCCCTCTGCTGTTTTGCTGGGCACATTCCAAGGAGTAGCTCATTCGGATTGACTGAGTCATTGTGGATCTGGTGCAACTGAAACCTTGGCTCATATCATCTTTGATTGTGTGCTCTCCCTGGAGAGATTTCTGGATTCAGCCATTGATCACTACTGGTGCTTCTTCTGCTTCCTGGGCTTTTTTCATCTCTAGTGGATACCAATTCTGGCATAACACTACTAGCTGTGGCAGAATTTTTGGCTGCAGTGGCTTTCAACACAATGGTGGAGTTCGAGGGCAGTGTTAATGTGATTTATGTTGTCCAAGACTGTTGGGTCCAGTGTTCCCTCTAAGCTGAGTTAGTGTGAGCTAGCTCACAGTTTTTGAGCCTCCAGCTCACACATTTTTGTCTCAGCTTAGGAAGGATGGCTCCGGAGCAAACTAATTTATGCAGCAGCCAAATCGCTCGCTCACAACTTTAATGCCAGCAGCTCACAAAGTAGAAATTGGTTGGGTCATCGTATTATTTGAAATAAATAGCACATTCTTTGAAGAGAACAAGTGGCTCCTCTATCACTTTGGAATACAGCAGTGGGCCTGGGAGTAATTCTGTCTAGGATTATGCTCAAAGTCAATTAGATTTGCATCCAAGTAAACGTATGTAGAGGAGCTGCGGTGGCTCAAGTGGTTAAGACGCTGAACTGCAGGCTGTGGAAGGTCAGTAGTTCAGCAGTTCGAGACCTGAGTTGCCGCATGACGGAATGAGCTCCCGTCTCTAGTTCCAGCTCCTGCCAACCTAGCAGTTCGAAAGCAAGAAATTGCAAGTAGATAAATAGGTACCACTTCGGTGGGAAGGTAACAGCGTTCCGTGCGCCTTGGTGTTTAGTCATGCCGGCCACATGACCACGGAAACGTCTTCGGACAGTGCTGGCTCTTCGGCTTTGAAACGGAGATGAGCACCGCAACCCTAGAGTCGGATTCGACTGGCTCTCGAGCAAGGGAACCTTTACCTTTACCTTTTAAACGTATGTAGGCAGAGAAGAGCTTCTCCCTAACTAACTTTGACTGAATTTTAACTAAGGGCAGCCAAAATGTCACCCTTTTTAAGCTAATAGAACTAGTCTTGCAATGTATTTCTTTGTTTATATTTGTATGTATTTACATCATGTATTGTGATCTCAGGAATGTGACTTTTGAGATCATTTGCGATCATTATATCTCTTATACTTTCTGTCCCATGTGACACATTGCAGATGAAAAGGCACTCTTCAAACCACTTTTGTGTATGTGTCTATATTGGGAGGGGAAGTACGGTGCTTTAACCATCATCGATTTTTTTTAAAAAAAAATTGTTGTATTTTTCCAACTAGTACCGGCAACTGAAAAATATATCACTGGGTATACTTGGTTATGAGCAAGATGAAGACGAACTATCGGGCTTGCAGATATGTAAACAGCAATACAGGAAAAGCAAAATGCTTCCTTCCAATGACACGCTGAACATAGACAGTACTATTGAAACAGGTATAGAACTATTAGGTTTTTTTGATAATTTGGGGGATTTTTAGTGCAATTCTAAGGACACTTTCAGAGGAGTAAGCCCCGTTAGAGAGACCTGAGCAGTAAACCTGCTTAGGATTGCTTTCATGATATAAGAAGGAGTCATTGTATCCCATCATTTGAGCCTCCAAATCTACTAAATAAAGCCTGATTAAGGAGTTGTGGAGTGCTCAAGACTTTGTGTGATGTCAGGAGATTTTAATTTATGACACTTATTAGATCGGTTTGCAAGGGTCTTTTCTTACAGTGTGACTTTATTTGTGAGTATTCACATTCAGGGGAGAAACATGTGCCTGTGGTGAAGTGAAACGTCAAGAATATCAGTTCTTGATTCCTTCTAAATGATAACATGGCCATTACTCAGCAGTTGAGTACCATCCTGAGCCCCCATTGGTGAGACAGGCAGGGTATAAATGAAATAAATATTGACAGATCTCCTCCACAGGGCCCATTCTTGCCTGTTTGTAGGCTCTCCCACATTTAGAAAGAAGCAAGTCTTGAACATTGTTGCCACAAATGAATCTAAAGGCATTATACTAATATAATATGGAAATTGTGCTTGAAAGGAGAATAATAAACTCTGGAGTTTTGAGACAAACTTCATGGAGGACATTAAACATCTGTTTTCATCTTGTCTTATAAGGACCAAGGAAATAAGTGGTTTAGATTTAAAAGAATTAGCAATAGCAGTTTCACAGATTCAAGAGCCTTGCTAGTTTGTAGATTGTTTTTCCAGTGTGTAACTTTTTGTTCTCCTTCAGTGGGGGAAGTCATCCAAACTGGTTAGGTCACGCCTCCTCTCGCTCCAGGCAGAGCTATGCAAATTTGTGTATTGGCTCAGAGTGAAGCTGACCCTCCAGTTCCATTAGCCCTGTTGCTCCGTAGAGCTGCAACCTGGTCCACCTTTTATACCTGTGTAAGACACTATAGAGCTGCGGTGGCTCAAGTGGTTAGGATGCTGAACTGCAGGCTGTGGAAGGTCGGTAGTTCAGCAGTTCGAGACCCGACTGTGCCGCATGACGGAGTGAGCTCCCGTCTCTAGTTCCAGCTTCTGCCAACCTAGCAGTTCGAAAGCAAGAAAATGCAAGTAGACAAATAGGTACCATTTTGGTGGGAAGGTAACAGCGTTCCGTGCACCTTGGTGTTTAGTCATGCCGGCCACATGACCACGGAAACGTCTTCGGACAGCGCTGGCTCTTCAGCTTTGAAACGGAGATGAGCACCGCAACCCTAGAGTCGGACTCAACTGGCTTTCGAGCAAGGGAAACCTTTACCTTAAGACACTATAGGTTGGACCAGTTAAAATCTGCAGAAGCTTCATCTGGTAGAAGGGTGTGCAACATAGTGGTGGAACAGAATAAAAATGAGGATCCCACCCAAGCGCTAGCTTGGGCATATAATATTGGAGCTTACCTGAAGGTTTCTTCTCTTCGGTGGGTGAAGTCTTCTATACCCCACTGTGGAAAGAAAATCTAGTTGGACGTAAAATTTGTTATAAAGCTGGGCTATGCTAAGGCTGTTTCTGAAAAACTACTCTGGGGTTGATGAAGTTGACTATAGCTGTAGTGTATACATACAGCAAGATGTTTATGACAGCATCTTTTTTGCAATTAATCAGGTATGCGTTGATGGTTTCAAAATGCAGAGTTTTTGACATGTTTAATAAGACATTTGTGATCATTATAGCTAGTTCAAAAGACAGACGTTTGAGTGCAGTGGTCCGTAGGAAACCTTTTGGCTTTAGGCTGGAGGTGATTCTAAGTACCTTCCTGAGACCTATAAAAATAATAAAGTGTCTTCTGAATTTGCAGCCACTCTATTTATATTATGACTGCCTGCTCTCTCAGCTCAGGCTCGCCGCCTCGCCTCTGCTGCTTTTAATGTGCTGCTGCCACCGCTGCTGCTTGTGCCGCCCTCATCCTCCCTGCCGACAGGCCAACAGGCAATCGGGGTGAAGGAGCCCAGGGGGGAGGGGGCAAAGTCATCCAAACTGGTTAGGTCACCCATCCTCTCGCCCCAGGCAGGGCTATGCAAATTTGTTTTGGCTATATTGGCTCAGAGCAACTGATCTGCGATAAAATCGTTACAGTTTCATTTTTTTCATTTTTACCCTGCCTTTTTCTCTCTAGTGAGAATCCAAAGCAAGTTACATCATTCTCCTTTCCTCCATTTTATCTGCACAACAACCCTGTGAGACAGATTAGCTGAGAAAGAGTGCCTGGCCCAAAGTCACCCAGCAGGCTTCCGTGGGCAGAGCGGGGATTCAGACCTGTGTCTCCCAGATCTTAGTCTGATACTGTAACCACTGCACCATGCTGGCTGTCTCATTTGTCATGTGGGATAATTAGACTGAATAGATTCTGTGTCTGTAGCAAAATATGAAGTGCTCCTTGGGACTGCCTCAAGGACATGGTGGTTTTAAAATGGAGTGTAGTCAAACTTTTTGACCTGCTGACTGAAGGACCCTGGCATAATATTATCAAAGGTTGGTGTGTAGAGAAAAGTTGCACGGCACACCTAGGAGTTTAGGCGTACACAGTCAATATGCTGTGCATAACAGCACTGTTTGTTACTGGCAGTTGCTCCTTGTAGATTCAAAGGCAGGGTATACACAGCTGTGTGTGGAAGTAGTGTCAGAAGAAAATGAGGCAGGACTGCCTTGGAGATGTACTACCATGGGGTTTTGAAAAGCAACCTGCAGTGGTCTACAAAACCTGACACCTGTCTAGCAGCATAATCCTCTGATTATTTACTCAGAAGCAAGTCACAGTGAGGTCAATGGGGTTTTACCCCTCCAGCCTTAGGATCACAGCCTTAGGTGCTGTCTGCCCTACTGGAATAATTATGGGGGAAAAACCCTCTTTGCCTCTTCTCTCTCAGAATGCATCCTCCTAGAGCCACAAGTACTGGCTGTTAAGGAAACGAGTGATTTGAAGAATTCATCGTTTTTCAGCCTTGAATTTTATAGGTAAAGAGAGCCTTGGAGACAGATTTTCTTTCTTTTTCAAAAAGAATGAATGTATCATAATGCTCTTCCTTTTTCAAATCATTCAGGCTTATAGAAGTTGAACTTTCTTTTAAACTAAAAGGTATTGATCTACAAACCATTCATGCCCGTGAACTTCCTGATTGCTATGAATTTCAGAATACAGTAAGTATTTTTTAATTAAACACTGAAAATGTTGCATATTTTTAAATTAAAAGGTTTCTTATGAGACGTCTTTCTTGCTCTACTGTCAAATATACAGCAGTTAGTAAGGAAAGAGGAGCTTAGAAAAAGGAAGCAAACCTCCATCCCAGTTCTTTGGCTCGCAACAAAAATTTGGATGTCTAAATGTTTATGATTATAATAACTATATATTTTTCTTTTTTACAAAGAGCTTCTGTTTTAACTGCATAACTAAAATAAGTAGTTGAAATTGTACTTTCAGTAATTTGCTTAATAAAATGTTATGGCTTGGATCCCAGGCTGCAGTTCTGTTAGCATGGGTTGCCAACTATGGGTTGGGAAATTCTTGGAGATGTGGCAGGGGGGTTGAGGTAGGAAGTTGCCTTCCTCTCATAGAGTAGGATTGTTCATGCTGCTTAGGATCCAAGCCCAAGTAGATAAATTTCTGCCTTGTCTGTCTTTATAGCAAGTACAAGGCCTTGTGTTCTCTAATGGTGGCTGACTTGGGATATATATTTTGACAGCTGGAGACGGTTAGGAAGGTAAAGATGCCTGCTGCTTTGTTTCTTTATCCTTTGATATAACTGTTTCCAATTTATAGTCTGTAGTTGCAGAGATAAAGTGGAACAGTTTAGAGGCTTGCTGATGGGATACTTATTTGCCACTTACTTTGGCCAAAACTGTTTCAGCTGCTTTCACATAAGAATAAGTCTTTGTGTAACATTTCACTTGCAGCCTGCAACTTTCCCCTTATAACATTGCATCAAAAAGGGCTAAAGACCTGCAAAAAAAATTTTTTTAAGTAAAAGCTGGGAACTATTAGTAGATTATTATAACACTATAGTAGTCTATCACTTCCTGATTTAAGAAAAAAGTATGAAAATACCCTCCCATGTATGTAGGAAGGAAATAGTGGCCACAGGGGCTGAGGTAAGAAAAATGGGCAGATTTTAGCGGGACCTGCAAAAGCGGGACCTTCTGGTGCACACAGCCTCCAAAGGTAGTTTGACTGCAATCTTTCCAAAAAAGATCATACCAAACCAGGTTTGGGAAAGTCTGCTGCAAAGTGGGGGGAAGCACAGAAGCAGAATGAATAGAGGATAACATGTGGATGCCCCCCGAAGCAGCACTGCTGTAAGGAAGCCATGGCAGAGCAAAGCATCCATGTGGAAGCAGTCTTCTTTGTGCATTTTAAAAGGTTTGTAAGTATCCTTTTTATCCACAGTATTTTTCTAATGTGCAAGATTACTGTAAGTGATCTCAACTGTTCAAATGCCTTATTGTATCAAGCAAATTAATTTTTTAAATTGCTGCATTTATATTAACAGATCACTTTTAACAATAGAGCCCACAGTGGTAAGATGAAAATATTTTTTGATACTGATGCTGATATTGAGGAATGCAAAGACTTGAACATATCTGGTTCTAGTAAGTATTATGTTAAAAGTAGTCTGTATATGTGTAAGCTTGAATTCTTGCTTATGCAGTCACCACCACAAATTGTAAGACTTACACTAGAAGAGCAACTGTATGTGCCATATTCGATGAGCCCAGTATCTTATGCCACAGTCCATACTGAGACTTTGGGGGAGCAGGCATAATTTTTTGAGGGCAAAATGAGCCATTTCATTCCCAGCTCAAACAATATTAATGTGTACTACTATAAAGAATTGTAATTGAATAGACTTTGTGGATTGCAGTTGTCTTATAGTTTCATAATCTGGTTGCAAATTTGGGAGGTGTTAGAGGAATGACTTGAGCAGCAGTATTTGCAAAACTAGTTTTAGTTATTTGCCCTCTTTTTATTTGGAAAGGTTAGTGAGCTAAAAGTTGTACTTGAATGCATGGGGGAAATTATGGTGTTGCTCTGTACTGAAAGATTTCTTAGGCCCCGGTCACACAGGAGATTTAGGGCCGGAAGAGGGACAGATCGGGGGTGCAGCAAACGGGCACAATCCCACTGCAACATCTGGGAAGCGGTGTGCACTCATCCCCGATCTGGCCCTTCAGGCCGAAAATCCGTAGTTAAAAGAAACCACCTACAGAGGTGGACTTACCAGAAAGGCCGCATCAAGCGCGGCCGTGGGATCGCCGGCGTGTCCTTCTGCCGGCGCATCCAAGGCTCCTGGCCGAACTGCGTATGCGCACACATGCGCAGCCGGCTGTCTCGGTCTCCGGTCGGTGGCTTCCTCCCTGGCATCTGATCGTGCCGGGGAGCAACAGCGTGGCGGCTCAGGGGATCTTTATGATCCCGCCGCCGCGTGTTTCTTTTGGTGCAGCTCTGAATAGCCACACTTTGCCCGTGTTTTTTTCTGCCGTGTGGCAGGGACCTTAATCTTTTATTTGTGGATCGTTGCTTATGCTCTTCTGTCAGCAGTCTTCGTACTCAGTATCCAAGTGGCTCTGGTCTGAGAACTGCCTTTGGAAGGGGCAGTGTGTGTATGAGCTTTCCTTCTAGTTTATACTTTGGTCCTCTATTGGCTCTTTGGCGTTTATTATTATTATAACACATTGAACAGCAAGCTGTGATTTTTAGGCATGCTTGCAATCTAAGAAAGAGTGGAAAGGGATTAACACAAGATTATATTTTCTTTAACAGTTCAGAAAAAAACACAGTATATCTTGGTTTTTGATGGGTTCGTCATTGTGAGCTGCTTTGCTTCTCTTATTCTCTGCACACGATCCATTGTTCTTGCTCTGAAGCTGCAAAAAGTAAGTAATGCCAGTATTCTGATGGCTGCTTTTTAATTTTCCCCAAACAAATAAATAAAAGCCCTGTATTTTGGTAATGGGAACAAAGTAATTTGAATTTTGATTTTTATAATAGAAACAGGGCAGCTGCACAAGTAACAAATTTAGATCTGTCTCTTAAATCTGTGGGTATTAGTCTTACTGCTTTCTTTTAATGAAAATCTCTCAGCAGTTGACCTAGTTTAGAAGAGGTCATAATGCTCAGGCAGGTTAGTTGCCTCCATTTTGGGGGCAGTTTCACTGTTGATTAGCATCAGTTGGATTTAGTGTATGAGGGTACAATAAAATTGAGCTTCTACTCTCATGTGAATGCTAGGGTACTAACACAAGGGAGTGTTGCCTTCTCCTAACATCTCCTAGCTTTCTAACTCTGTCCCCCCCCCCCTTTAAAGGAATGCCTGCACTCCTTATATACATATCTCAGTATTTAATACATTTTGGGGAGAGAATTAGTAATGTCATGTTGTAGCAGCCTGGATTTCTTTCTTTTAGATCTGTTGCTCCGGTAGAATGAGCTGTTCTGCAGAACCTTTGCTTTCCTTAATGGCAGGATCATGTGAGGGGCCCTAGACCCTATTGAGAGCAATTCATGTGGCTTCTTTTCTAGGAGGAGTGTAGCAATGGAAGAAATTGTATGATCGGTTCCTTCAAAGGGGCCAAGAGATTTGGGAAGAAGTTGTTGGTTGTGGTGCTTCTGCGTCATCAGTGTAAAATAAAAAGTGGGTGTATGGGTGCAAATTACCTGCGTAATTTTAAAAGCTATTTCTCACAGTCCTATGATATTTAAGTAGATTGTAGATTCAGTTGGTTAGCTGTAATGGTCTGAAGCAGCAGAACGAAGTTTGAGCCCAGTGGCACCTTTAAGACCAACAAAGTTTTATTCAAGGTATAAGCTTTTGTGTGCACATACACTTCTTAGAAGTGTGCATGCATACAAAAGCCAATAATACTTTGAATAAAACTTTGTTGGTCTTAAAGGTGCCACTGGTCTCAAACTTCGTTCTAAGTAGATAGTAGTTTCTGTTGCCATAATGTGTTGCAGCTGAGCTCCTCCTGCCCTTTCTCCAAGGAGCTCGGGGAGGCATTACACTGTTTTCTCCCCTCTCAATTTTATCTTCGTAACAGCCACCTTTCAAGGTAGGTTAGGTGGAGAGAGCGTGACTGGGCTGAGGACACCTAGTGATTTTCATAGCAAGTGGGCATTTAATGCTGGGTCTGCTTTTATGCACTATTCCTTAAGGTTACCTGGTGGACCCAAATAATGTAAAGTGAACTAGTATGTGACTATGTGCTTCCCGGTCCAAAACAGCAGAAACTTCCAACTTACTTTTACATTTTTTAAAAAACATTTTAAACAGAGATTTGTGAACTTCTTCCTGGAGAAATATAAGCGCCATGTGTGCAGCGCAGATCGCCTGGAATTTATAAATGGGTGGTATGTCCTGGTGATTATCAGTGATATGATGACTATAATTGGTTCTATAATGAAAATGGAAATAAAAGCCAAGGTAAGAAGTGGGACAATCTTTGTATTCTGGTATGGTGGCCCTGGGAATTCCAAGGTCTCATTGATCTGCTTATGACTTGAACAAAGATTAAATTAATTTCACAAATCTGTTTTGGTTACTTAATACTCTTTCAGAACCTTGCAAGTTATGATGTTTGCAGCATTTTGCTTGGTACATCTACTTTATTCGTTTGGGTTGGAGTCATCCGATACTTGGGCTACTTCCAGACTTATAACGTAAGCCCTACAATCAAATATTGATTCAAACATTACTTTTCTGCTTTCATGTGTGTGAGTCTGATGATTTCTCACTCTCCTTCTTTTATAGGTACTCATTTTAACCATGCAAGCCTCATTACCAAAAGTTCTAAGATTCTGTTGTTGTGCTGGGATGATATACCTTGGTTACACTTTCTGTGGTTGGATTGTTCTAGGGCCATACCATGAAAAGGTATGCAGGGTGTTTTTTTTAACCCAGATTTTGCTGCAGTATTTAATGTGGGGGGGGGGGGAATAGCATTGCTCTGCACTCAAAATACCTACTTTAACTGTATGTACATGCTTGATAATCTGGCAGAGACTGATCAAGAGAGAGATCTTGGAGTTGTAGTAGATAACTCACTGAAAATGTCGAGACAGTTTGTAACTGCAATAAAAAAGGCCAATGCTATGCTGGGGATTATTAGGAAGGGTATTGAAAACAGATCAGCCAATATCATAATGCCCCTATATAAATCAATGGTGCAACCTCATTTGGAATACTGTGTGCAATTCTGGTCACCACACCTTAAACAGGATATTATAGCTTTGGAAAAAGTGCAGAAAAGGGCCACTCGAATGATAAAAGGGTTGGAACACTTTCCCTATGAGGAAAGGTTAGTGCTTAGGGCTCTTTAGCTTGGAGAAACGACGACTGAGGGGTGACATGATTGAGGTTTATAAGATTATGCATGGGATAGAGCAGGTAGAGAAAGAGGTACTTTTCTCCCTTTCTCACAATACAAGAACTCGTGGGCACTCAATGAAATTGCTGAGTGGTCGGGTTAGAATGGATAAAAGGAAGTACTTCTTCACCCAAAGATGATTAACACATGGAGGTGGTGGCAGCTACAGGCATGGACAGCTTCAAAAGGGAATTAGATAAGCATATGGAGCAGAGGTCCATCAGTGGCTATTAGCCACAAGGTATAGATAGGGGCTCTGGGGCAAGTGATGCTCTGTCTTCTTGGTACTAGGGGGGGTCAACAGTGGGAGGGCTTCTAATGTCCTGGCTGCGCTGGTGGACCTCCTGATGGCACCTGGTATTTCTGGCCACTGTGTGACACAGAGTGTTGGACTGGATGGGCCTTTGGCCTGATCCAACATTGGCATCTTATGTTCTTATGATATGTGCATACTGAGTCACGTGTGCTTGCAGAAAACAGTTTGATGCTTAATTTGATAAGCAAACACCCTACAGGAGAAACAAAAACACAAATTCTTTGATAAGTCGTTGATGGAACCATAATACAGTATCTGGGACTGTAGCAGGTATCCTAGCTTTTCACAAGAGGGCAGTATTATATCATAGTTTTACTAGGAGCCTCACCTTGTCCTCGAAATGTCTAGTGCCTTGTCTTGGTAGTCTTCTTTAAGTTTTACTAGAGCCTGTGTTTTACTAGAGCCTTCTATTCTAAATGCCTTCAAATTGCAGTCAATATTTGACTTTTCTGAACTTGCTGTGTATGAGATTGAATGCATGTCCTGGACATAAGGATATACCTTTGCAGCTACAGGAAAATGGTATAAAACTAAGCTAGAATCTAGAGTCAATTTGTTGTTATTGTTGTTCAGTCACACAGTCAAGTCCAACTCTTTGCCACCCCATGGACCACATCATGCCAGGCCCGCCTGTCTTCTGCCGTCCTCCAGAGTTTGCTTCATTTCATATTCTTTGCATCGATAACACTGTCTAACCATCTCATCCTTTGCCATCCCCTTTTTCTTTTACCTTCAGTCTTTCCCAGCATCAGGGTCTTCTCCAGTGAGTGCTCCCTTCTCATTTGGTGGCCAAAGTATTTGAGCTTCAGCTTCAGTATCTGTCCTTCCAGGGAACAGTCAGGGTTGATTTCTTTTAGGATTGACTGATTTGATCTTCTCTCAAGAGTCTTCTCCAGCACCATAATTTGAAAGCATCTATTCTTCGGTGCTCAGCCTTCTTTATGGTTCAACTCTCACAGCCATACATTACTACTGGGAATACCATTGCTTTGCCCATATGGACTTTTGTTGGCAGGGTGATGTCTGTACTTTTTATTATGCTGTCTAGGTTTGCCATTGCTTTCCTTCCAAGGAGCAGGCGTCTTTTAACCCAGCTTATACTTCTGGTAGTTCTCTATCCACATACTGCTGAAGCCTAGCTTGTAGTGTCTTGATAGCTTGTAGTACCTTGCTAGCGTGTGATATGAGTGCAATTGTGCAATAGTTTGAACATTCTTTGGCATTGCCTTTCTTTGGGATTGGAATGTAAACTGACATTTTCCAATCCTGTGGCCACTGATGCGTTTTCCAAATTTGCTGGCATATGGAGTGCAGCACTTTAACAGCATCATCTTTTAAGACTTTGAATAGTTCAGCTGGGATACCATCACCTCTGCCAGCTTTGTTGTTAGTAATGCTTTCTAAGGCCCATTTGACTTCGTACTCCAGGATGTCTGGCTCGAGGTCAGTGATTACACCGTCAGGGTTGTCAAGGACATTGAGTTCCTTCTTGTATAGTTCTTCTGTGTATTCTTGCCATCTTTTCCTAATCTGCTTCCGTTAGCTCCCTACCATTTTTGTCTTTTATTCATGGCCAGCTTTGCACGGAACGTTCCCTTGATTTCTCCAGTTTCCTTGAAGAGATCTCTAGACCTTCCCATTCAATATTTTTTCTTTATTACTTTGCATTGTTCATTCAGGAAGGCCTCCTTATCTCTCCTTGCTGTTCTCTGGAAATCTGCATTCAGTTGGGTAAATCTTTACTTTTCACCTTTGCCTTTCTCTTTCCTTCTTTCCTCTGCTATTTGTAAAGCCTCATCAGACAACCACTTTGCTTTCTTGCATTTCTTTTTCTTTGGGATGGTGGTGATTGCTGCCTCCTGTACAGTGTCACGAATCTCCAGCCATAGTTCTTCAGGCACTCTGTCGATCAAATCTAGTCCCTTAAACCTATTCTTCCCCTCCAATGTATATTCATCAGGGATGTGATCTAGGTCAAACCTGAATGGCCTAGTGGTTTTTCCAACTTTCTTCAGTTTAGGTCTGAATTTTGCATTGAGTAGCTCATGATCTGAGCCAGTCAACTCCAGGTCTTGGTTTTACTGACTGTATAGAGCTTCTCCATCTTTGACTGCAAATGACATAACCAATCTGATTTCGGTGTTGCACCAGAAAGAAGCACATTTGTATTTAAAACATGTAGTGAGGCTGGCCGATCAACCTTCATGTTGTGGCTCCGGCCCTGTGGAATTGCTATCTTCTGAGATCAGCTACAGGAGTTCTCTGAAGGTTTTTTTTTCATTCTCGGTAGAAGGTTTTAATTAATACAAACATTTGACTTCTGATTAGAGCGGGAGTGTTAAATGTGTGGCCCGGGGGGCAGATCTGGCTCGCACAGGGCTCAGAACCAGCCCCCCAAGCAACTTCCTTCTTCTGCTTCCTTTCCAAGGCTGCTGCTGCAGCCGCACTCTAGTTTGCTTTTCCCCTCAGCTCCCTCAGTGGCTCTTTACTTCCTGCTTCCTGTCTCTTGCCTCCCCCCCACCTCCCCCCCCCACAGAGGTGGTGACCTCGTGCGGGAGAGATACAAAGACAAGCCTCTCTCTCTCACTCACTCACCCACCCACCCAGCTTCTACTTGCCTGGGGCTGCTCCTCCTCTTTTTGAGTCCCATGGCAGCTTTAAGACCAGCAACGTTTTATTCCACATATAAGCTTCTTGGGTAGGAAGGAGGGAGGGAGGGTGGATTATTCTGACAAGAACAATGTACATTAAGGAAATTATTTTGGCTTATTCTGAAAAGCTGGGTTTTTTTTAATGGATTTCTCTGTTCTATTTTCTTTCAAAAAAAAACCTGATTAGGAATTAGAACATATGGATTGGTCCTTATATCTTGGAGGGTGGAGTGATTTCAGATGCCAAATGATAATAGCACACATTGGTAAAGAGACAGAAAAACTAGATCTCAGTTCAGTCCAGGAGGATGCATTGTCTTGAGCTTCATTATCAATTGCAATTCAGCAGTCTCTCTTTCTAATCTCCCTTTGAAATTCCCTTGTAAGAGCACTGCTTCTCTTAGGTCACCAACTGAATGTTGTGGTCTCTAATGTCAGACTTATGTCCATTTATTCTTTGCATCCTCCTGGACTGAATCCTCCTGGATCGAGTTGAGACCGAGGTTTCCTGTCTCATTACCAATGCTGGTGTCTCCATGCCTACTACCCCTCTGCATATCACACCTAATCCAATCAAGCCTGCTGTTGTCATTCAACTGCAATTGCCATTCGGCATTTGAAATCACCTTTATAAGTTTATATCTCGGGTACCTCAGGCTACATTATGTTGGATCTGGCTGTCATAACAAATCAGTTTGACACCTCTGGATTAGAGGGTTAGCTGGGTCCTATACGTCATAGTAGACTTAGTCATTCTTGAGGTTTACTGCTTTGGTATAAAGCAACTAAGACGCTTTAGAAATGAAAACATTAAATTTCATTACTTTTTGAAGTGTAAAGGTAACTATTTGTTTTCAATATTTTCTAGTTTGAAGATCTGAACACAGTAGCAGAATGTCTGTTTTCTTTGGTCAACGGTGATGACATGTTTGCTACGTTTGCTCAAATTCAGCGGAAGAGTACTTTGGTGTGGCTGTTCAGTCGGCTATACCTGTATTCCTTCATTAGCCTCTTCATTTATATGATCCTTAGTCTTTTTATTGCACTCATTACAGACTCCTATGACACCATAAAGGTAAACGGCTGCTTGTATTTTTCTCATTTTGGCTCAACATTATTGTTGGGCTGTAGCATCTGACTGAACAGATGCTGAATTAAAGTTTTGTTACATGAATGCTTAAGGGTTTTCTTGTGAAAGCCATTTTCTATCTCCCCCATCTAACCCCTGCTATACAAGTGGTAATATGGCTGACCTTGGCTTGCACCATACCAAGAACAGTGTTGATTCTTCTCTGTGTGTAGTTAGTTGCAGAGAGCCTTTTGAAATGAGGTTCCCCCCTCTATTTCCTGTCAGGACTGACATCCAAGAAATTCAACAGGTGAACCACTTCAGTTTTTGAATGTTTGACAAGGTGTGGAAATGCACGGAAGTGCTGCACATAAATGAAAATATTTAGTTATATTTTTAATATTTATATTTTACTTGATTATACCCCACTTTCCTCCTCAGTAGGAACCCAAAGCAGTTTACATCATTCTCCTCTCCGCCATTTTGTCCTTACAACCCTGGGAAGGTTAGGCTGCCCGTGTGCGACTGGCCCAAGATCACCCAGCACAAACGTCTATGGTAGCAGGGACATATGTGGCCTGGCAGCAACAAATATGTGTCAAAAGCAAGAAGTTGAACTCTGTCCTCCTTTTAGAGCAGGGGTCCCCAACGTGGTGCCTGTGCACACCGTGGTGCCTGCTGACACCTTTCCTGATGCCCTCCCAAGTGTTTTTAGAATGTGGGTGGGGCCATGTGGGGCTTTTGCCCAGCAAGGCTTCTGATTGCCCACTGGAGATTTGATTGGATGTGCAGATTAAAAAAAAAAAACATTACCTTAGTAGCAGCTGTTAGCACAGCACCAGGATCTTCACTATATGATTGAAAGTAAGCCTTAGCAGCCATTTTGTGCCTGGCTCCACCCCCTACTGCAGCCATTTTGTGGCTTTAGCCACCACACCGTGTAAAGTTCCAAATGTGCCCACAGGCTCAAAAATGTTGGAGACCCCTGCTTTAGAGTGTTCGCTAGAGTTTTTAGAAAATCATGTGCATAGCTAAGGTAACTCAGGTAGCACAAATGTTGCAAAGTACAGAGCCAAAGTAATACGTTCATTGATCTATTGTGTGTGTGTGTGGTCTAGTATGCATAGATACTTGCAGTTCTATACTATAGAGCCATTCTGTCAAGAACAAGATAGGAAAGGGGATGGTCGCCTCTGTGTGATACAGTGGCTTGGGATGAATAGCATTAAATGGACAATAACTCTCAGACCAGGTAACATAACTCCTTAGATTGATTTCCCCCCCCCCCTTTTCTACCACCGGACCTCTGTCAGAAATATCAGCAGAGTGGCTTCCCAGTGACAGATCTTCATGAATTTCTAAAAGAATGTGGCAGTGAAGAATACAGCACAGGACCACGGACATCCATGAGTCTCTGTTGCTGTAGGAGGTCAGTATGCTGTCTTGCAGGTTCCATCAGCTCTTGTTGCACTCCTAAATGCTGTTGAAGTTAGCACTGATTTGGGATGAGCAGCACAACCAGAAATCTAGCCGTGGGGTTTCCAAACAACAAGTATGGTTTTGGAGTTTGTTGCTATTATATTTAGCATTAGGATATTGCTCCGAGTGAAGGAACAGAGCATAATTTGTGTAAAATGCTATACTATTTCTGTTGCACAACAAAGCTGCTAAGTGAGCTATATCAACTACAGTGCAATCCTCAGCAGTGTTACACCCTTCTAAATGCACTGATTTTAATGGATCTAGAGTAGTTTAGGATTTACTATAGATCATATATACCATGAAAGAGCAAACACCTTTCCTTTTTTCTTGGTTTTTTTTTTGTATTTTTCGTGTGTGTGCATGTGAGTGTGTGTGCACCTGGAAGTCATGGCAACCTCTGGTGACTGGGGGCCTGGAGGATATTCAGAGAGGTGGCTGAATAAGCCTGCCCCCGCCTCCCGACTGCTGTTATTCCAAGGAAGTCTTCAAAAAGGGAGATTGCCAGCTCCCAAGTAACTACAGACCAATAAGTCTTTTGTCCATCATTGGGAAGCTCTATGCCAAACATTTGGCTACAAAGCTTAAGTCTTGGATATTAGAGCAGCAAGTCCTTGGGATAGAGCAGATTGGGTTTTGTCAGGGCAAGTATGCGGCTTTCCTGGATCTCAAGGGTGCCTTTGATTCGGTGCCCAGGGATATTCTGTGGGAGAAATTAAGTGACATGGGGATAGACAAGCGACTACTGTTCTTGATTAAAAATCTGCATTCTGGAAACACCTGTCAGATTAGATATTCTAAGAAGGGGGACTTAACAGCTAAGATTCCCATTAACGTGGGAGTTAAGCAGGGCTGCATTCTTGCGCCAACCCTGTTTAACCTCTTCTTAAATGATTTAGACCCCTTTATGAGGAGTATTGATGGCCATTGCCCTAAACTGGGTGAGAGGCATGTCCCGTTACTTTTGTATGCGGACGATGCTGTCCTGCTCTCGCTCTCAGAAATGGGGATGAAAAGGATGCTTGCTCAAGCTCTTGCTTATTGCAATAAGAACAAGTTGTCCCTGAACTTCGATAAATCCAAAATCATTGTGTTTGAGAAAAGTTGGAAGCCCATTAAGTGGATTATACAGGGGGGAAAAATCGAACAAGTCAAATGCCATAGATACCTGGGCATCTATTTCAATTATACTAACAGCTGGGCTACACATATTAAAGATGCAGTTAAGTCATCAACTAACAATGCCCTTGCTATTGCCCGTTTCTTTTACACCAAAGGACATCAATATATTCCCACTGCTCTTAAAGTATTTAACCATAAAATACCCGCCAAACTGCTTTATGGTATCCCAATTTGGGTCTCGGCTTGTAATGAAGCTGTAGAACGTGTTCAATCTAAGTTCCTGAAGAAAATCGTGTGGCTACCAGCTTGCGTACCATATGCAGCTATGTGCCTGGAGACAACCCAAAGACGGTTAATTACGATGGCATGGACCATAACCTTCAAATTTTGGCTGCGCCTTCATTTTAGATGTGGCCCAAACAGTCTTGTGGTGCACATGTTAACTGAATCCCATCTATCGACTTGGTTGATTAATATATAGAAAAAAAATTCTATAATCGGCTTTAGTTTTGATGACTTGGTACTTTTGTCTGAGCAGAAGGCTTTTGCCTTACTCAAACAAAGACGCCTTGATATAGAGGTGCAAGATCTGAGAAGACTTGTACACAGACATTGCTCTCCCTTGAGTATGGGACTTTCTTTTAGCCACATTTCCTCAGGATACCTGGCAAGACTGATTCAGCCCCATTTTCGTAGGGCTTTCATGCTAGCGCGGTTCGACGTCCTTCCCTCAGCTGTTCTATCGGGAAGGTTCAAGAAAATTCCCTATAAAGATAGATTGTGCCCCTGTGGGATGGGGGAAATCGAATCCATTGGACATGTGCTATTGTACTGTAAATTCTACTATGACATCCGTGTTGTTTATATTGAACCTGTGTTGGACCCCCTTTTGGGCCAATCTGATGAGCATAAAATTAGTTCTTTATTGTCTTCGCATAATATAGAAATTCTGGAACCTGTAGCAAATTTCTTTTATGAGGTATCTAGGAGGAGAGGCTCATATTAAGGCAATTTGGAATGTGATAGCCCTCCAGCCTATCTTGAGGCTCTATGCTGCATGTGTATTTGATATTTTATGCCAATAAAGGTATTGTATTTGTATTTGTAAGTGGCATGTGTAAATTCAGTATTAACCTGGGAATGCATATTCATCACTTTTGGCTGATCCTAATGCTGCTTCGGGCTGAAACCATCACAGATGTATAGGTAGGACCTTGATATGGGGAGAGATGAGCTATATGACGTACCACTTCTGGGTGCAGACTCTTCTAGTATTTCCATTACTTACTGGAATGTGCCATGAGTTGTTCTTTCCTATCTCACTGAATCACCTTTTTGACAGTCGGCAATAGGCAGTACTGTAGGGATTAGCAGAAAGAGGCATGGAAATATGGGATGGTAGCAGAGAGTTCTGCAGGTTTTTAAAGTCGTATGGGAGTTTAATAGTGAAGACTGGAAATCTAGAAACCAGATGCTGCTACTCTTACAAATTAAGTTTCTCGGAAGTCTTTCAGCATATTTTATTAGAATTTTCTCTGTGGATATCAATATATGAGACAGACTACTACTTATTTTTTTCTGTAGATGGAAAAGTGATGATGACTTGATACTTATTAACTGAAGATTGGTGATACTCTGTGGTGCTGGCCTAAATTATTGCACATGAGGAACAAACTGCTGTGGATAGCTGACGCTCTGGATTGCAAACACACCATGCCATTTTGGCTGTGGGTTCTCTACAGACTACCGGCCTTAACTTATGGCAAGCACAGATGCGATCAAGAGGATGTCTTCCTGATGACCAAACTACAAAAATGTGAACTATGTATTGAGCTAGAATCAAGCAAACAGATGATTACCATTTCAGCCTTTTGAAGTTCACTCAGAATTTTTCAGTATCATTGTCAATCCTCGACTGTAAACAGCTTTATAAGATTTTTTATATTAAAATGTTTCTGTGAAACCCCTTTCTGCCTTTTAAGAATGTTCCAAAATATGCCATTCTTAGTAATAGTCTTCTGCAGTTTGTTCACTTAGGCTTTAATTTGGAATTAATACTAAGTCTTGCATTTAAACTGGACTTATTTGTTAAATATATGCAAAGCACTGCATAAAAAAGCATACCTTACTTTTTGGTGCATTAAGTTGATTTAAATCTTGTTTTGTACACACCGTCTCACAAACCAATCAGTTGCTAGCTTGTGTGGGTTTTTTGTATGTTCTGGATACAGCTTTTCTTCCATTGTAGCTCACATCTAATAGCCATATATCAGGAAAGCTGTATTCAAGTTGGGTCATAAAACTGGCTTGAAAATAACACATCTGACTGCTTGTGGTTATGACAATGTGGGACAGTTCTATCCTAAAGAAATCTTTAAAATATTTTGTAACGTCTATGTACCTGGAACAGAAACACAGCAGAGCAAGTGAATGGACTAGTAATCATCGTACAGGTATTTTCTTGTATTGTTTTGAATGCAGTAACACTGTCTCTCCCCACCCCCGATAGTTTCGTGTACTGTATTAAAGGCCATTCTTTGAAAAATTAGGATGCCTATGGTAAGGTCTTAATACTATAGTGGCTTTTGTCTCTTGTGTGTGCTGTGCATTTTCAGCACTATGAAACCACACTGTTTCAGAAAAATTGATTTGCAAAGCATGGAGCTATTCTGTTCCTCCCTCCCAATTGTGGAGTAGATTTATATATTATGCCACACTTAAGTCAAACTGGAAGTGATGGAAAATTCACAATCAGGTCATCCAATTTAAGAGAAAAGTATTAGCAGCCCTATACAGCTGGCTTTGAAGACATGTGAAACTAGGGAATTTGTGCTTCGCTGTTTGCCCCTACACTGTGTTCTCAGCTCCTGCAGTTAAGCTCCTCTTTTATATTGCTTCTGTGAGCCTGCCATTTCCCTCATTTTCAACTAAATGGACAACTTTCCATCCCCAACCTGTGATCCAAAGTAGCATCTGTCTAGTGAACTCCTCAAATTTGCCATTTCAGAATTATTTTTAAATTCAGTGGGAATGGTCCTTCCATTCCTCAAAGTTGTCAGACTTCCCAAGCTAAGCCAGGGCAACCAGCAAGTAGCATTTTAATTTCGCTCTTTCATTTCTGAGTGCTACAAATTAATGCACAAGGCAATAAATGTAGCTAGTAACCCCAAACAGAGCAGAATATCTCCATTCCTACTAACAGCTAGATCCAGCAATCTGTATGACTGCTGCATTCAAATCAGATGTGTGCATACAGTTTCCAGTTCAATGAGGAAGCCTGATTGTGTGCAGCTCTTTTTGCTAGATCAGAGTGAATGTGTTTGGTCTTGTTAGTCTAAAGTTTCATATAATAGCCTATTGTGGGCACGGTCTCTATCATTGTTCTGGTAAGCTTTACTTCCCTGTTGTAAATGAACAGCTTGCTCTACAGTTGAATACAGCCATATGTTCTGGAGAACACTTCCATTTGCTCCCCTTTCTAGCTTCCTATGACTATAGCTCTCTTGGTGCGAGTTACTCTTAAAAAAAATTTTTTTTTCTGAAAGAATTTTACTGCATTGACTATGGAAAAGAAATGATAAATGATCTAGGATAGAATAACAGCAGAGGAAAAACTGTTTTCAGGAACAAGACACCCACCATAATGATTTGGTACTTCAACTGCTAGAGTTAAGAACATTTTCTTTATAAAAATGATTAATTATTGGTCACATATGATGTAACTGATCATTTATCTTAAATAATTATAAGAACCATAGTGTTCTGTTTGATGTTATAACTTGCTGTCTCAAGGAAGGAGGAAAGCTATAGCTGCAGCTGGTTCAGTACTGAAGACTAACTGGGGTTATGCCAGGAATACGGTCTTGAATGCATCTGACCAAGTCACCCTGCTGAAGCTGAGCTTGTCTGGGTCTGTTAGAGCTCCTGGATGGGAAGCTGCCTGGGATGCAGTGGCACTGGGAGTTCCTTAGAACGAGGCTGCCTGTATATGAACAAAAAATGTTCACAAGCTAGCAACAAAAGCAGTTCCTTTTGCTCACACTATAAACACCAGTCTGAGGCAGTGCTAGCTGTGTAACAAGTAGCCCTCTCATGATGGGTCGTTTGTAGACAGGATTGCGGTCCAGGATTGCCTCTAACTCAGGCACATTTCAGTGACCTGTCCCTTTCTTGTAAGGAGCATATGTCAGAGAGAGAGACCGCATGTGGTAGTGAGCAAGACTTCAGCCGAGGAAGCAAGCAGGCACTCACCCATCTATTGTGCCTGGATCTAGCTCTTTGGAAGAACGCCCTTCCATCTAGCTTCTACAGTAATGGGGCCACCAGAGTGAGGGGAGAAAGCAGGTGGGCACTTTACCTCCATACCTGAATGCACCACATTTATGAATCCCCTAGGTATTGAACCTTGTCTGTTGTATTAGATTTTGAAGCCAGGTTTTCATTAGAAATGGGATCCTCATGTTAGTATTAAGTTTCCCCGCTTTGCCACTTCTGTCTTACTACAGGTTCATAGAAAATGAGATGAAACTGATGACTGCTTTATCAATGGAATCTTCCCGTGCTATACTGTCAGGCTCAGATATATCCCACACTAAATTCCTGTGTGGATAACATCAAAAGACAACAACAGGGTAATGGTAAGAACCTACCAATCAAAGCCTTATACACAGTGAACCAACTTTTGAGTTATGTGCAACAATTCTTCATGCTGGAGGTTAAGCCGAGCCAAAAAGTGGGGGAATGAGCAGAAAATAAACATGGTTGAGCACGATCAAATCGGCAGCCTGGAAGAGTTTCAAGAAGGAGCAGAGCATGTGTTATGCCTCCTTTATAAGGTTAAACTGCTGGTTTGAAAAAAAATATTCCACTTACACTGAAGGCTTTTGAGACAAAGACTATAGGTTTCCCCCCTGTAATAGGGCAGCGGTTATTTCTGCCTGTTTAGAACATGATGGAGCTGCGGTGGCTCAAGTGGTTAAGACGCTGAACTGCAGGCTGTGGAAGTTCAGCCGTTCGAGACCTGAGTTGCCGCATGACGGCGTGAGCTCCCGTCTCTAGTTACAGCTCCTGCCAACCTAGCAGTTCGAAAGCAAGAAATTGCAAGTAGATAAATAGGTACCACTTCGGTGGGAAGGTAACAGCGTTCCGTGCGCCTTGGTGTTTAGTCATGCCAGCCACATGACCACGGAAACGTCTTCAGACAGCGCTGGCTCTTCGGCTTTGAAACGGAGATGAGCACCGCAATCCTAGAGTCGGACTCGACTGGCTTTCGAGCAAGGGAACCTTTACCTTCTTTTTAGAACATGATGCTCAGGGCTGGCAGTCAAGGATCTGGAAACCTGGGCAGCTATTTTTCTGCTAGAAAGTAACAGACTTTGTAGGTGAAAGCAGAGGGCACGGGTTAACCTTTCACTTTCCACTGCAATGTGTCTAGGAAGCTTGGCTGCCGGGGGTGCAGAATGGTAGGAGAAAGGCTAAGGACAGGAGTCCTAATCTGGTCAAATATCTATCTAATCCAGCATTCACTTTCCCACAGTGTGCTTTCCTCAGTTTTACAGTAGAATACTCTGCCACATGAGCAGCCTACTCCATCATGTTGTTTTGCTGTGAGGCTGAAATGTCAGTGGGTATCCCACTCAAATAACTTGAGGCAAAGCTCTGAATCAAAGTGGAGAGCCAGAGGAATTGATGAGCAAATTCGATGAGTGCAAAGACAATGGAGCAAAACATAATGACGTTAGGCTTATTAACCAACCTATTATGATATTTGTTAGTGAATATTTTGCCATCACATTTTTCTATACAAATGTGACTCTGCATGATCATGAATAGTGGCATTTTGGGGGGAGTCGTTCAGTTGTGAAGCTGCTTTTTTCATGTTACAAATGCATCCCTTTATGGTTTATTTTGCAAAGGAACATCTTTTGATACGTCAGTTCTGAGTGAGGACTTTTCCTTTCTTTTCCAGAATAAATATTGAGATAAATTTTTAAAAATTGAGGCTGATGAATGTAATCATGAGGTTGATGTACATAAATTTAACTCATTTGAATGGCCTAAATTTGATGTGTGTGTGTGTGTATACACACACTGAATGTTGACGGTGGAGCTGTCTTCTCAGCCTTTCCATTTTAGCAACTGGAAAGATCTTGTCTAGTTCATACATATAAAAATGCTGTAGCTCATTCATATATTATGGGTCACAGTAATTGGAGGAAGTCTCCCTGATCTGAAGTTTGAGAGCAGATTTTCATAAATATAGCTAGCATTTCAAGATTCCTGTTTGGTACATATATCTTTTTTTCTGGGCAGAGGGAATAAAAACAAACCAACCCTGAGCTGGGTTCATTCCGCTAACAGTGGCACTTTTCTCTTTCACAAGAAGGCACCTTGTTTTTGGGAACGCACTACCCTGAAGTGGAATGGATCCACAGTATCCAACCCACATTTTATATGCTGTTCTTCAGCATGGGTGGTTTCCTGTTTCCTCCTCCTTTTTTGCTCCTCTGTTCTGATTGCCTCTTCTGCAGCTGCCACCTGTTTCTGGCAGGGTAGCGGTGTTAGTCTGCTGCAACAAAAACAGAAAGGAGTCTTCTGGTAAATTAAGATTAATACATTTGACAAAGTCGGCTGAAGGAACATTGCAGAACTTTTGGGATCGCTGCTGAGGTACAGTGGTTAAAGTGCCAGACTAGGACTTGGGAGAGCCATTTTCAAAACAGCATTTGGCCTTGGAAACTTCATGGAGGTCTTGTGAATATAAAATGAGGGAGAACCATGTATGTTGCTCTGAACCACCTGGAATACGGTGGGATTACAATTTGAAGAGTGGTTTCTCATCTTCAGCATTATTACTTTCATGCCCAGCATGAATCCAA